CATCTCATTTAAGAATAACTGTGTTGAATGCATCATGCTGAATGTGTAGTCGCAAATGTTACATTGTGCCTCAGTAAAACGGGATAATTCCCGGAAGTGGTCTTTGGCAGAGTTTAATGTTGGTACTACTGAGAACAGCTTCCTCTTCTTCCTCACTATTGGAATCTTGTTTTAAAACAGATCTCATGACATTGTTCTCCGAAATTTTAGCAGTGTTTACTAGGTTTTTGTCAACATTGACAAAGTCACATGGTAATCCTCACTCTCATTTCCTCGCTTCTGGATCGATTCAATGAGGTGCATAAGGAATACTGATAATGATGAAAACTGAACAATGATGTCATCTGTTTTTCAGAATTGTACGTTATGTACTCGCTGGGATTTCTAAGTCTGTAGCAATGTCTTTTTTAGTTTTTTTCCCTTCATCAATGACTGAAACTGTTATGCACTTCATCTCAAGTGTCCAAGCCTTATGTTTACACAACTGCAAAGGCGATACTGTAGTTTTTAGAATTTGGGGGGGGGGGGGTGGAGGGTAAATATGTATTCATTATGAACAAAATTTCGTCATCAGAATTTTTTGTAAAAGTGGTTATACTACTATGATATATAGTGATGCAAGTGAGGAATCGTCTCCAGTTTATTATAAAAATTTGTACAAACAGAGTTTGTTATAATCAAGTCCAGTTTAACTGTATTATAATTTTAAAGATGATGATATTCAGAAAGAATAATTCAATCATAAAATGTGATATCACTTGTATAAAGGAGAAAAAATCCTATAATTTGAAACAAGACCTATTGCTGAAATCATGTGTGTACTGATCAGCTATTTGGAAGCCATACAACAGAGAATCCATTTCATTGAATGGCAGGAATTTTTGTAAAAAGATATGTATGTGGTAAATTGAATTCCATTTGTGACATTAGTTTCTGTAATTGTACTGTGTAACTTACAACAGACTTTCTCTTTTTTCAGTGTAGTTTTTAGGCAGACTTGTTATCTATAAATATTCAATAGATTTGCAACAGTGAAACAATTGAAGTTTTAGCTGACATAGTTTCTGATACACATGCATGAAGCTAGGGGTAGATTTCCACAGTTGAATTTTGTGTCCGAGTAATTGTCACGCTTGTGGACTGATGATACAACAGAATTTACAGTTTCATTTGTTACCATCCTCACAAGGGAATCTGAAATATTTCCATCCTCACAAGGGAATCTGAAATATTTCTCATGACAGAAATCTGAATGTTCACATTACAAGTGAATGACATGTAATAGATGCTGCCTTATATTTAATTTATTAGCAACAGATGGTCTAATGACTTCAGACTGCTGGGCTGTGGTGTGACGATAATGTCTTACCCTTAAACTGGTACAGAAATTTAAAGATTTCTGTTGAAGCATGATAAAGTGTTTTAACTGATGTGTGCGATATACATGTATACATCTAAACTGGACACTAGTGATTGTAACAAATATATACCCTGTCGGTGGTTAGGACACAGTGATTATCGTAAGCAAATAGTTCTTCTGTCACTGTGGTGTTTCCATAGGTTGGAGCTTTAATTTTAGGTGGCTAATTTGTAATAGGGAATTTGGTAATTACCTTTGACAAAAAGTTCAGTGTTGGCGGGAGAAGAACATGATTATCAATTCACTGGGTCCTAATTGTCAATAAAACCTCCAAGTCAGGTGACACGTGTTGTCACAGGCGATTAAATGTGGTTTAAATATAGGAAATGAAACGTTTTGTGGGTTGAAGTGAACAGTAAACCTTCGCATTGCATCAGGTAAAACCTTGTGTGTGGGAGTTTGGATTTAAAATAGGAGATTAAAGATGGGTAAGACGAAAGATTAACTTTATTTACTGTGTAAGGTTAAACCTGTGTGGGAAAATCTAGTAGGCAGCTAGGTCAGGTGATAAAGATGCATTATTCACTTAACTGTAACTGCCAATATTTCATTATCCAGACTTACTCTGAAAAAAACATTGAATATCTAGTTCTAGCTATAGCTAGCAGAACGAACTGAAGCAAGAGGCAGTTCACACCTGTCCTTCATTTGCATAAATAGGTCGTTTACACCAGGTGAACTTCACCTATAGAATCTGGTGAATCGGCTTCACAACTGAATACTTGAGCTACAGATCTGGAAGTCACCTTTGAATATCACAGCCTGTTTATGTACTTCATCATAACTGAACGTACAGGATCATGTGTTATGTACTTGCACACATGATAATCGTCCAATTTTCTTCTATTTTCATAATGTCTCATTTTCTGCAGTTTGTATTCATTCCCATATATATAGTTAGATACATAAAAACATAAGCTGTTCATAGCAAAGTTCCTGATATGAAGTAAGAACTTCTAAGGGGAACAAAAATATACGCTGACATTTTTGTATTCAATTTGACAAGAAATTCTTTGTTACAAACTATGAATCAGATAATCTAGCTGATTCATATGATACACTGTTTCACACATATTTAATAGGTTCTATAGAATTAGCCTTGTTGCCAGGGAGGATTATGTTGGACTAGCATGCAGGGTTTGTCATCGTGACCGAATGGAAATGTATATATATCCTCTCGATGCAGTGTATATTATTGAATGTATATGGTCTATGCAATTTTGTGTCCTTTTCTGTAATTCAGCTGGCTTTATCTACATTTTATAAGTTAAAGTTACAGACTGTTGCTGTTGATCTGTGGACAATAGATTGTTACCATTAAGCTGTTGGCAGTAGATTGTTTTGTCCTTGTGATTGTCTTTTCTTTGTATAACTATAAGGTACAGTTAAAGACTTGCATAAAACATGCAGATTTAAGGGGAAAATATTGTTGAAAAGGGCAGTTGACCTATGTATGTATTGCTAGTGACTTCTCTTGCTTGACTGCAATTGTAAATGCTTATAAATAGCTGCAGTTGAGCTGAGGTTAGTAGGTCAAAATACCTTTACATGAAATATGAAACAGACTATAGTGGAATTCCAGCTGCCTAAGTTTAGGCCTTTGTTGTGAAAGTAGACAGAGTTTTATAGTGGGACCACATGGCAGACCTTGAATGTCGCTGATTTTAGGTAGGTTGTTTGCTAGAATTGCCTTCATTTATTGACATGCAAATAACTAAGGATACAATGCATCAACAGATTTATAATTTTTATAATTTTCACTTTTCAAATTTCCATGTGGTGTACATGTTGCTGTGTTTGGGTTACATATATGTGTTTGAACCATGTACATCTCACCCACTCGCTGTAAATTTGAAGCCTTGCTCATTCTTGTCAAGTATATGCCACTTTATCAATACAGGAGCAGTTTATTTAAGATCAATTATTTTAAAGCATCATCTGAATGTAAGTTTTTTTTGCTGGAATTCAAAGTGCTGAAGTATTGGTGCATTCAAATTCCTCACCTAACTAAAGTACCAGCCTAGAACTCTGGGAGCTAAGTATAGGCTCAAGCACTCACCATTGTCCAAATATTTTTATATAGAATTAAAGTCTTCAGTCATCATGCACTGATGGACAAACTGTATACTCAAGATATCTCGACTGACAAATATAACTATAATACAGCCTATTACAAGCGGGGTGATTTATCAGCAGGTCTTTTAATAGAATATTGTATAGTGGATGTTTTAGTGTATTTAATAGTAGAAGGTTGTCTTGCTGTGTTTCTACTTATACAAACTGTAGTGATTGTGAAGCCTTTCTTGATGAAATACTAACAATTAACTGATCTCAACCAAAACAACAAACAAAATTTGTGTTAGCACTACAAGTAGAGCTGTTGTATAAATAGCAGTGTTGTCCAGCGAGGATAAAAATATTGTTATGTTAGAAAATGAGTCAATAATCAACATGCCTTTTTATTACACATTTGAATGTAGGAAGATTAGCCAGGAATGTTGAAAAAAGTAACTGATGCTAACTGTGATGACCTTTCTTGATCAGTCTGTGCGCTGGTCTTGGAAAGTATTGTGGGTGGTTGGAATGCCCTGCAGTAATGCATTCCTCTTTCACCTGGGCAATCTGGGTTTGATTCACGAAATTGATGTGAAAAGGTATAGGGTCACCTGCCCGACTCATGGGTACTTCAGTTTCCTCCCATAGTAATTAAGACCCTGCATGTGCTTCCATCTGTACCAACAAGAGTGATTATACTATAAGTTGGAAAAACTAGCTCATCAGCTGTTGTAAAATAAATAAAATTTCTTTTAAGTATTTTGAACACAAATTATTAATATTGCTGACTGTATAGCAAGCAAAATATCAGCACATAAACTTGTGTGTGAGTTGCATATTTCAGCCTATTATTTATCATCCTTATACTGTGAACTGTTTCTGCTTTTTGATAATTGTAAGAAAATGATTACATAACTTTAATATAAGACTACTCCTTGTAGCTGTTATACCATCACATGTCATGTCTGAGTCATTTAATTGGTCCAGACATAAAAACCTGATCAATCCATAGACTGACATTTCTGCCCTTTGATATATAGCTACAATGTATCCAAAATGCTTCTGCTTGATTCCTTTTACCATAATCACAGAGGTCATAGGTATTACTTCATTCTGCAGAAGATTTCAGACAAACTTCTGTCAGAGAGCCAACGATGCAGGGAAAATGAGGATACCAAAAGTAAACCAATTGAATCGAAGTGACATTGGCCTGAATTTCAGGTGAAGAAGTCTGTCTGAAACAACAGTATCTGAATAGACATATAAATAGTGACGCCAGTCAAAAACATTTCAAATCCCAATTGTGTAGTCATGACAGTAGACCACTCAGAAGTAATAATGTCCTTAGTCGATAGTGCTGTTTGAAGGAGTAGCTCAGCTTGAATGCTGTTACATTTCTAAAAAGAGATTGTGAGAGAACGTAATTCTAAAAGGTCATAAGAGATCTGTGCAGGAGTTTGGTTTATACTTTACGATTTAACATTTATAGTATCTATACATCATACTGACCTTTTTATCCATGCAGGTTGGAATAATTGATGCTAATGGCGATTTACCAGGCCTTCGGGAACAGAGTTCAAAACCACGTAAGTAAACTATAAAGCCAATTTATGTATTCAAAGCATTTTTAGCAAAAAAAAAAAAAAAGTCAATTACACGCTCAAAATCTTTTGCATACATGTGCTTTGATTGTCCCATTACAGTTATGGTATTTATTCATAGAGCGCCATGTATTTTTCTTTACAGCATTACGGTTGGTTGCTGTGCCCATAGCTGGTTCCCCAAATAAGATGTCCCCGTATAAAAATGCTGATCAGGTGTCACAACTCTTACCAAAGGTAGGTGACTCCCTTACAGCATGATAGGCACCATGAAATACATTAATTCTAACTGACTTGCCGGGACTTAGGAGGGTTTTCTCAGGAGATTTGACAATCTCATTCACCTTAACTACAAGATAGGATTCTGATGGCTTTACATCCAAGCTTATAATATTTCATTATTAAAAGGTCCATTATCCATTGATATCATATTTGTGTCAAGTTATCGTTTACTAGTGTTTATAGGTCATCTGCGCTGAAGAGTCAGGAAGACTTTTGCCATTATAAGTTGTCCTACCTTGTTCACCATTTGTAGTTTTCACAAGGTTAAAATCTCCACTGATGAGATTCAGCTCAAACTTGTCTGAAATGTTATTGAGATGTCTGGATCAAGTGTTGTTATTTTACATGTTGACTTGAAATCGAATATAGTCGTCATGTGTTTCATGTAAAAAAAAATCCATTTTAAAAGTGATATCAGGCAGTTTTGATCAATTTACAGACTTAACCTTAAAGAATTTGTTCAAAGTTGGAAGCTTGTGCCTTTTTAGGTCCCCATATTAAAGTAATAGAGGGAAAAAAAAATCTGTTCAAATTCATGAAACTTATGTCTTTTTAGATCTCATTTATATAAGTAATAGGGGGGGGGATACATTGCTTCATATAGCCTGAAACATAAGTAAAAAGTAAGGAGAAGTATTGCTCATTTGTTTGTTTTATGTTTGTAATACAGAGAACAGCAGGATCTCCACAGGTAATAATGGCTGCTACTAGTCCCAGAACACCAATGGTCCCTGTCGACTCCCTCTGGGGGCGCAAACGTCAGGCAGCAGATATCACCATAGAAACAGAATTTGCTGAAGGGTAGGTAGCAAGGTGTACTGTGGAGCTAATGTGTCTTGTGTGTACAGCAAATAACTTGGGCAGACTTGTCTTTGAGATGGATGCTTTGTTTGATTATAAAATAGATGTAGTTTTGTAGGATTTTAAAAATCCTTTTTGTGATGTTTCCAGTAAAAGGGGTAAGAAGGGTGAGAAAGGAGGAAAAGGTCTACGACACTTCTCCATGAAAGTCTGTGAAAAAGTCCAAAGAAAAGGTGTTACGTCATACAATGAGGTGGCGGATGAACTCGTCCAGGAATTCAGTGACCCAAGAAATCTCACCTCACCCTCTGAACAGGTAATGCTGCAACAAATTAAGTAAGCCAGCTTTTTGTCAGCTAAGCATAAAAACAAAAAATTATTTGATATTTTGTCCAATTAAATTACCAGTTTAAGATTACTATACTCCTGCATATGTAAAAAAACTCATAGAAGAATATATATTCCACTGTTCAACAGATGGTGGGCTAAAAATGATATGTGGCCATCTTGGGTTTTGACCATGAAAGTTTGTAATTAAGTTTGTTGAGAAGTGTTGTATAGATCTCTCTTAAATTTCTTGTGAAGTTTCCTTTGGGACTGTAGTTGTGCTTTTTTCATTTTTGGACTGATCAGAAAAGCAAAATGGCTGACAGGAAGTCATCTAGGATTTGACAAACATGATTATCTTTACTTCTGAAGAAATTTTCAAATTTCATATAGTAACAGCAAGAACAGGGGAAATAATAGAAAAGAAAGGAAAAGATTCAATGTTGAAAGTGCAAATAAACACCATACCATGGTGGGCACCAGGATCCCTGTGGAATGTCTTGTTATATGGGGATTCAATTATGATTCTCTATGTTGAATTTGCAGGCTTATGACCAAAAGAATATCCGACGGAGAGTTTATGATGCTCTCAATGTACTGATGGCCATGAACATCATCTCCAAAGAGAAAAAGGAAATCCGATGGATTGGCTTACCCACAAATTCCGCCCAAGAATGCCAAAACCTTGAGGTAGTATGGAACCACTAGGAGTATTGTTAAAACAAAAACTCTCAAAAATGGGGATAGATTTTGTTTAAGGATAAACACTTACTCATGTTTTAGGTTGATTAAGATTTGATCTCTTCAAGGTCTAAGGTTGAAAAGATTTGATCTGTCAAGGTCGAAGGTTGAAAATAGTTGATTTGTTAAGGTCAAAGAAAGAAAGAGTTGCTCTGTGAAATTCAAAGAATAAAAGACAATTGATTTGTCGAAGTCAAAGCAAAAGTGAAATTTGATTTTTCAAAGGTTGAAAGATTGTTTGTTTGTCAAGGTCGAGTGTAAGCAACATCTTTGTTTGTTTTTACTGAAGAAGTTGAGAAACATTTTACTTTGGTTAAAAATGTTTGTATTTTAACTGATAGTCTATTTTCATATGTATTACAGTTAGACAAACAGAAACGAATGGAGAGAATAAAACACAAAACACAGCAGCTACAGGAATTGATATTACAAGTAAGTAACTAGCACAAGGATGTAGATCCTGTCAGTAGGACTAAAGATATAGGTAACCAGGAGGGGGTTAGATGTAGAACCTGTCAGTAGGACTAAAGATATAGGTAACCAGGAGGGGGTTAGATGTAGAACCTGTCAGTAGGACTAAAGATATAGGTAACCAGGAGGGGGTTAGATGTAGAACCTGTCAGTAGGACTAAAGATATAGGTAACCAGGAGGAGGTTAGATGTAGGACCCGTCAGTAGGACTAAAGATATAGGTAACGAGGAGGGGGTTAGATGTAGATCCTGTCAGTAGGACTAAAGATATAGGTAACCAGGAGGGGTTAGATGTAGATCCTGTCAGTAGGACTAAAGATATAGGTAACCAGGAGGGGGTTAGATGTAGATCCTGTCAGTAGGACTAAAGATATAGGTAACCAGGAGGGGGTTAGATGTAGAACCTGTCAGTAGGACTAAAGATATAGGTAACCAGGAGGGGGTTAGATGTAGAACCTGTCAGTAGGACTAAAGATATAGGTAACCAGGAGGGGGGTTAGATGTAGATCCTGTCAGTAGGACTAAAGATATAGGTAACCTGGAGGGGGTTACATGTAGAACCTGTCAGTAGGACTAAAGATATAGGTAACCAGGAGGGGGTTAGATGTAGAACCTGTCAGTAGGACTAAAGATATAGGTAACCAGGAGGAGGTTAGATGTAGATCCTGTCAGTAGGACTAAAGATATAGGTAACCAGGAGGGGGTTACATGTAGAACCTGTCAGTAGGACTAAAGATATAGGTAACCAGGAGGGGGTTAGATGTAGAACCTGTCAGTAGGACTAAAGATATAGGTAACCAGGAGGGGGTTAGATGTAGATCCTGTCAGTAGGACTAAAGATATAGGTAACCAGGAGGGGGTTAGATGTAGAACCCGTCAGTAGGACTAAAGATATAGGTAACCAGGAGGGGGTTAGATGTAGATCCTGTCAGTAGGACTAAAGATATAGGTAACCAGGAGGGGGTTAGATGTAGAACCTGTCAGTAGGACTAAAGATATAGGTAACCAGGAGGGGGTTAGATGTAGAACCCGTCAGTAGGACTAAAGATATAGGTAACCAGGAGGGGGTTAGATGTAGATCCTGTCAGTAGGACTAAAGATCTAGATAAACAGAAGGTTGGACCTAGATCCTGTTACTAGTACTATAGATTTAGGTATCCAGTTTGAATATAATTTTTTTCTTTCTTCAGCAAATTGCCTTTAAAAATCTGGTACACCGGAACCGAGAGAGGGAACGTAGTAATGGTGGTCCGGCTGCCAACTCAGCAATTCAGCTGCCCTTCATCATAGTCAACACAAGTAAAAAAACAGTCATTGACTGCTCTATATCTAATGACAAGTAAGTTCTATTACTTCTGTCATTGACAGTCTCTATAGTTTAACTATTCATAATTTTAAATGCAATACAACATTTGTGGTAATGTGGAATCCAATATTTTTCAGATTTTTTGTGTGAGATGTCTTTAATACTGTCATACTCTGAAATAATCACAGTTTTGGTTAATTGTGAATACAAATGTATGTGGTGTATTCCAATAAAATACCTGTCCATCAGAAGGACTCCATATTAAAGGAACTGGGACTTAAAAACCTGCATTTTCTCCAGCACCTTCTTATTTTTTGTGTACTTGTATGGGAATAAAATTGATTAAATAGCCATCACTGTCATAGTATCTATTAAAGTTTCGATAACAATTACATGCAAATTTTAATCTCTCCATGTCACTGAGAATTCCAGTTATGTTATAGAAAAAAAGGTAGTGCACTTATCACTGACTGTTACTTGTTCATTCATTTTTACCCTTACTTTCCACAGGTATGAGTATTTATTTAACTTTGATAACACGTTTGAGATCCATGATGATATTGAAGTGCTGAAGAGGATGGGAATGGCCATGGGTCTGGAGAAAGGCCAGATAGCACAGGCAGACCTTTCTCGTGCTGTGAAAATGGTACCTAAATCCCTAGAGCCTTATGTATATGGTAAGTGCACTAGGATTAGCATGAGGAAAACGTGTGAAAATGCTTTATGTTATTGTGATGGTTTTATGAAAGATTTACCTCAGGTAATTATGTAAATAAAGTTTTACAAATACAGGCAGTAAGAATTACTACTGTGACTACTGATGATTGCTCTCTCACCATCTTCTGAAAATATTGTGTTTGATTTGTCAGATTTTGGATAGAATTTCGGCTTTGATTTCCACAGCCTTCAAGGAAACTACTAACCACAGTGTGCTCTAGAAAAAATAGTAAATAATAGACATTAGTGGAAATAAATATTACAGGTCAAAATTATCACACAACATCAGCTAATTTTTTTGTTGTTAACAGAATTGGCACAGGGCAGTATGGCTAATGCTGGACCAAGTGGTATTCGCCCCATCACCTCAGGAATCTCTCCACACAACCAGGCCAGGTAGATTGAATTCCTGTAAAAATTTCAGTTCCCTAAATGAATCTGTTGGTATATCAACTTATGTTATACTATTGATGACTCTGTATCAGTTTGTTAACTGTAGAGTTATGTTAACCTGGATTGTGTATTATTATCTTAGAATAGTGATATAATCATATGAATATTGATTATGCACAATTGGTTGGTGTTGTATATTACATGGTATGAGAACCAGTTTTCTGAAAGTACATGGTAAATCTTTATGTAATTGATAACTAGCCGTATTTGTCTTGTGTGTTGTATATAACATGGTATGAGAACAAGTGGGGTCATTGCGGTACAGTATAATACTTTTCTTCAAAGGGACAATTATCAAAATACTGATTGGTTTGTCAGAGTCAGTTATAACATTGGTATTTTTGATAATCATTCCAGATACTCCACATGATTGATTAATAAACAGATGCCGTTGCATATGGTGATGGACTGTTACAGTTAGCAGACTATTTTCTAGAATAAATTACGTTTTGACACAAAATAAAATTTCTTTCCATGATTCTGTTTCAGGTACAAGTCTGTGACTATGTCGTCACAAACTGTAGATGTTGATATGGAAGTTGCCATGGCTACCAGTCAGGGATTGTCACGTGACTCCAGTATGGGGTCGTACTCGGACATGCCCTCACGTGCTGCCACAGAAACGCCGTCGGAGGACTTCAGTGATGAGACAGACACAGACAGATCAAGTCCTGTGGATATGAGCTAGAAGAAATATAAAAAAGGCTTTCTGTTTTTAACCATTGAGTCACTAATCAGATGGCCTGAGCTTTCAAGTATTGTTCCGACTGACCTTTGGTTTGACTGACCACAGAGTGTGGGCCTCTGGATGTTGATGGACTGGTCAGTAAAGTTATATACAAGCTCAGCAGAACCTGTCATATATATATGTATATATACATATATCAACAATGACAAGGTCTGCCCAAGTAAACAACCAGCTGTGATAGACAAAAGTATTGGTGAAACAATTCAGTTCACCACTGAGGGGTACCACAAACTTCACTGATAGGTAGTCACAAATCACCTTACTTCGTGGAGTTACTTTGTGGCATCACTAGTGACATCACATCTAGGAAGGGTACATTATGAACGTCGCAGGAGAGCGAACATTTTGTTCAGAAGAGATGTCTGATATGACAGAAGAAAGATGTGCCGTTCCTTAATAGTCTCAGGTTTTTTCCTCGTCTGGATTGAAATTTCTTTTCCTTCATACCAGAAGGTAATCTTGTAAGGTGATAAGTTTCCGACAAGATTCTAGTAGTGTTAAAATAACCAGCAGTTTGCTCCTTTTTTCATCTGAACATTGAAACGATCAATGCAATAGACTTAGAGTGTAACAGACTCATTGCTGGTGACCTCTCTCTGGATCCTCTTCAGGATATGTATCCCCATTATCTCGTCCTGGAAATCACTAATGGATCGGCAGAGAGGAACAAAATCTGTGTAGAATGTTATGATTGGTTGGTATGGTAAACAATGGAGTGTGACTGTGTATTTGTAGGGGAGAGCTTTGCCTTTATGTGAATGATGTGTAGACCACTAATATTTAGCGAGAGATTTATTTTTACATTAATTACTAGTAATTAACCACCATTTACAATTATTCAAATCTTGTTTCAAAATAATTCACTGTTGTTGAAGAAACATATATGCTCCTGATACTGTGTTATTGTAAAGTTTTAAGGAAAACATTATTTTTTTTTTTTTTTTTTTCAAAATTAGAGGTTTTGAATACTTGAAAGTTATTGTTACTTGTTATGTATCTGGATCTGAATGTTAAGTTTCTGATGCTGAGACAGTCCAATAAGGATTGCTAGGTTTTTATTAGTGTTTTTTTGGTTAAGCTGTATTGAAAGATCTAAAAGTTCCCATGGTAACAGAATTTTATAAAGTGTTTATTTGCTACATTGCTTAGTCTACTAAGTTAAACATCTTTTAACTATGACAGTGTGCTTTGTTTCTAAGAGTTTAAAAGGAAAAAACAATCAGGATTTTGATTTCAAGGCATCAATACAATTATTATGGAATAATGGTAACAAAAAAATTATATTTCATGTAGATAAGTTTTTGAAGTGCTATATATTAGAAGTCCAGAGAAGGAGATCTGGTGGAGAAGTGATTGAGTGTGTTATTAAAGTATGTGGAACTGGCTCTGCTTTGATCTCTGGGACCAGTGCTTCAAACACAAGCTGTTACAATTGGAATTTGTAATATACAAACTGCAGATTTTTTTTTATAACCGAATGGACAGCATCACAACTGTTTGATGGGCATGAACCAGGGGCTGTGTTGTGTAATGTCGTCAGAAGATCTTGTATGACTTCAATAGTTTATTTGTCAGATCAAAAATCCATTCCTTTTTGTCTCAATGTTAATAACATCAGTATGTAGTTGCTGTACATTTTGCCAAGGTATGTTAAAACCATTATTGGTGATATTTTGAATATATATTTTGTTTCATTTGGAAATGCTAAAGAAATGCATTGTTTTCAGTAGAACCAGCATTGTAATATTAATTTCATTATATTAAAACCATCATTTTATTATAACATTTCATTGGAGCCATCTTTGTAATATTACATGACTGAAATTTGATCAGGTTTTCCGAGTAATGATGTAAATTTTGAGAAGCAAGATGTTATCATTTATAATCGATATTCCATACATCTGTCGAGTCATATACCCAAACAATTCCATTTTTTCATATAATATATTCATCTGACATTGAAGAATGTTGTTTTCACTTAGACCTTGATCTATATAGTGACAAAGAGTGTGGTCCTGTGTCCCAGGCAGATATTATTTACGCTGTCTAAAGTTGATTTATCTGGTCCTTTACTACCCATTAGTAACTGCCTCTCACAAATTGTAATGATTATCTGTGAATGTTTTTCTTCAGAAATGCAACATTTATACTACCTTTAAATTTATTTTAAAGCAAATCAGCAAACTTACATGGGTCCTGCTTTAAAGGCATTGCAGACAAGCTAGAGCAAAATTATATATAAGGTCTAGTCCTGAAGTCTTTCCAGGTTTCAACCTCCCTGGAAGATGTGATAATCTGTTGTTCAGTTGCTGTAAGAATCTGATGTTAAAGCCATGTTTATTACTTCACGTCTATGGAGGCCTTTTGCCATTTGATGCTCATCTGTTGTGTGTTGGTACCATTTGTGTTCTGTTGACTGTAATGGTTGGTTCAACATGTAAAAATATTTGACGATTCAGTTTTCAAAAGATCTATTTTTTACATTTGGTAATAGATAGTTTGGATTTCATTATACATAAATGTTAAAATATTTGAAGATAGTTTTCAAAAATTTGATTTTTGAATCATGCAGTGTCTCTAAATTGACGATTTTGGATATAATGACATGCATCAAGGATTATGCTTGTTGGTAATTGCCTGTAAAACTACATTTCCTTCATATAGTAGCCCATCAGGATATCCATATTATACCCATATAGATATATGTAGTGTATCTTTTCTGGGACCTCCTTCATAACAGTCCTGGACACCTGTTGTTAGATGATGGGCTGATTTGCATGCTTTCATACCTACAAGCAATACTGAATCTGCGCAATTTTTCACTAAAATTAGCTTTATTGATATAAATATCTGCATGAAAAAGATTTTCCCTTATGTGGAACTGTTTAAGAATGGCTGAAAGTTGTGTGCCACTGTCTGTTAATGTTAAGTACAGGAGATATTGCCAGTATAAACATTGTTATCTATTAGCTGTTATGTACCATTGATGAATGTGTTCAGTAGATGATTTTATAAAAACAGAACCTGTTTCCCATGTAATTACATTCTATAAATTGTCCTGTATATATCTACATATTTTAAATGTGTGTCAGACAATTAAGTGGAGATATATATTGACTGAAAATTTGGTTGGCCTTAATTTGGTGGTAGTCTAGTGTTTGATGACTTTTGCAAATATGTTGTTAACAATAACGTTTTGTTATTCCAGCCCTTATGGCATGAGGCATGAAGATGAAAGTTTTAATATGAAACTCTGCAGCAAAAACCACCCTTAAATCTGCATAAATGTGGTGAGAATAATAATGTTAGGGCTGTTCCGCCTAATTAAAACAGTTGGACCGGTTGAACCTGCAAGAAAAATGCCAAGTACAGATCAGGATAGAGGCTTGTCTGCGGAATATTTGGCACGTGCAGTTTGAGGGGTCCAGCTGTACCTGTCCGAAACTTTTTTGCTGAATATCAGTAGTTTTTAGAATTTCAGCATAAAAAGTAGGGTTGGTGAACTCCACATATTTCAAGGATCATTGTGCTATATTGTATGAATGAAATGATTGGTTTCTTCATTTTAGTTAATTGATGATGCTTGACAGGAAATTCTGAAACTGCATTTCTAGCTTTACATATATCAGTTCCAACATCCGGTACAAGTGCATTCGCGTATCAAGGAATATTTCTAGACCACCTGAACCATTTCAACCTGGTTATGCGAGATGCGACCTAGATTTAGTTTTTAATTCCAAAACAAGGAATGATTCAATGATAAAAATATATTTGTTACTGTTTCACAAGCAGGCATATTTCTTAATTTAAAAGTTTTGGCAGACACCACAAACAGTAGATTTTTACCAGGACACTGTGATACTGATGATATCTAAAAATAGGTATTTGTCAAATATTAGATTTCTTAAAAATATTTGCTTTGGTTTCAAAGTGGACTTAAAGTTTCATGCTTCATGCATGTCTCCTGGTTCAAGGTACACGCAGTACCTGGTTTTTGATTTAGTAGTCCTTGTGAGCTTTCTGTACTCTTTGCTCAAGGGATTCTGTATAGTACCTAGAATAGTGTTAGCATAAATTATTGGTTATATGCTTGATTGTCTACCCTTTGTTTGCTTTGTTTTATGCTGTGTTTAGAAATCATGATTTCAACGGTTTGAATTATTATTATCAATAAGGTGTGAAAAATTGAATTTAATATGCAGTGTGATCATTTTCGGTGTGAAAATTTTAGACAAACATTTTCTTTTGTATATTAGTGTCTATACCTCTTTTCTGAAAAGTTTACTTTTGTGCTGATTTTGTTTTGCTGACAAAATTGTAATTATTGTTTGTTTTGATTGTTGTTTAGTCATAACTTTCCCTCACTTTTAATCCAAGTCAAACGCAAGTTCTGACCTCAGCCCAAGTCCTGTGGTAGTCGATGAGTGATGAAACAGCAGGTGTGAACATACTGGAAGCTGTAGTCACAAACCTTCACATAGGCGGCCCAGGGTATAGGGTAACCTCTTACAAAAATATTCAGGCGACTGGATTCTGATCCCAAATTTTGAGAATATAACTTGCAAGTTATTATGCAGTTACTGTCTTTGTTGGGTGTACTTGGGTTCAAGGTAATGATTTACATCAACCTATTTAATACATGGTGGTATATCGTGTCTAGTTTGTACGTTTGCATCCATCCATAGTAAAAAAGATTGTTTACATAGTGTCACGAATGCCTCAATTCAAATTCAGTCATAATTTGGATGTGTGAAGTTCTTCACCAAAGTAACTTTCAGTGGTCATTTGTCAAGGTTATGGGTCAGATTTCTTTTGAATGAAATGCTTGTGTATAACATGTCTTCAAAATGCCTCAACAGATTTAGTTTTATAGTAATGTTATTGTGTCAAAGTTGAGGCTAAAGGGTCAAAGTTCCCACTTGACTTCTTGAGGTAATGCTTTCCTCATGGGGTTTTGCTATTCTCATAGTAAACATGTATTACCAAATTAACTTTGTGATTGAAATCTTAAGACTTGTGTTATTTGAAAAATTTGCGTTTGAGAGTGGAAATGAGCGAGTTAGGTGTAATTTGTGTAAGAAAATTGTCCATCAACATGGATTTGTGCATTATGTGATGTACATTCTGGTATGGGAGATACTTGTAGGAGTATTTTAGGATTTGATGCGAGTTAAAAAATTTGTGAGAGAGTGTCAGAATTCTGTATGTTTGATTGTGTGGAGAGTGTATATGCCAGCTGATGACCTGTCAGCATATTTTCATGTATTTAAGTCTGCATATTTTCATAAACTTAGTACAAAATTTTCATATCAAATCATCCACAAATTTTATCAACTTGTATGTATTTTCCTCTAAAATTATGATTGTTATATCTGTTCTTCTGTTGATGTTTAAAGTTGTACTGGTAACACGCCTGTGCAGGGTCAAGTGGGCTTGATCAGCATAACTATGTGGCAAAGATATGAATCTTTTCTAGGATGAAATAAGAATCATGGATGATTGAGATATGTTGTTAGGTTAATTATATAGACTTTGGTAATAGTTTTGGGACTGTGCTCATGTCTTACAGCAATTAGATATAGTGCATTCCTTATTATAGCAAAGTCTTCAGTGATTTGAAGTAAATTTAGAGGTCAGGTTGTAAAGTTTCTTCCTGAAAAATATTTTTTAAATTCTGATCTTCATTTTTTTATGGCTAAAGCAAGTGTTTGAATTTGTTTTATTTTCCAGAAATTCAAATAAGTAAAAATTGCAAATTGTTAAAAAGTTCTAGGCTACATTTATGTACATATACAGTAATACTGTAAAAATAATTTGGATGCAGGTGCTTCAGATTTTAGCAGGATTTCGCCTCTAATTATATTTGTACCTAGGATTTTATCAATGGCTGAGTTACAATGTGTCTGTAAGTGTCCCCCTTTTTTATGTAACCAGTAACTTGTCAGAACACAGTACTGGCAGCTAACTTGTAAATACAAACTTGTGTAGATTTGTAAAGTAGTATAAGCCATGTACCTAGTTTTATTTTGTACAATTAAAACTTAATTTAAGACTGGAAAAAATAAAATTGGGAGTTATGAGTGATAAAATAACAAGCAGCTATGCAGTCAAAATTATGATGGGTGTCACGAATTCAAAAAATTATTCTGTAAGGAATTACGAAGAAGAATGTGTAAACTTTAATGATAATGCAACTTCACATTCATAATTGTGTAATACATCTGTATAGTTTCATGACAACTCATCAATTAAACAAGAATTCACTGTTTTGTTGTGTTACTTGTATTGTTTGCCACCAGCTGAATTGCTTTTCAAATTGTCCTCCATCTGCGGCCCATCCTCATTATCAATATTCTCACTCTCTCAGACATTTAATAAATGGATGTTTCTTAAATTTCAGTTTCCCCCACCAGTCCTTAGCTGTGCAGGCATAATTTAAAGACCAATTGGTAGAAGTTGATGAAAAGCATGCAGTGTATGAATTTTGAAAGTTATTCCTCCAGAATGTGACGGGTATTAAAAATAAATAAATAAAAAATGCTGTCACCTTTGGTTCCAATTACTATTGAAATTTCAGTCAAATTACATGCTTTGATTTCTTGCTGAACCATGCTTTCTTTTATTATCAGGTCTACATGTCAAAATTCATCGTTTATAAATAGATTGGTGTATAACTTTCATCATAACACAATTACGATGTGTATCAGTACTGTTTTGGGGAGATGTATTTTGACATCGACATCAAAGGCAGTGTAGAATGAATTATATTCAATTTGTTCAATTGTTCATGATTACTTCTTTTTAGGCTCTTCATGTTTTAGAACCCAAATGGCCAAATGAATCTAAAATTTGTTCAGAATGAAACAATACACATTTGCTCGGGAGTTTTATGTATGTCATTTCATGGAAGATGGTTATGTTGCTGAATCCAGTTATGTCAAAGAAGGATTTTAGAAACAAATTGAATATAATTCATTCTACACTGCCTTTGATGTCGATGTCAAAATTGCATTTTTCTTACTAGTCTCTGGCCCTCAGTGGCTCACTATTTAGAACAAGTTTTCGTAAAAATCCCTTTATCCCAACAGGAGGATTTTAAAGGTTTATCTCTGGTTCTCTTATTGGGACCTGTTTTGAGGGGTCATTCTTGCGTCCCATTGTTCCGGTCGGATGGTATAGCGATAAGCTTGACAGTTGATTGGGGATGAAAATGCCAAGGGTTGGAGCATCTCTTTAAAAAGAAAGAGTCCTTTCATCCAAAGATGCTTCAGACCAAATTTAGTTGGTTAAAATTAAGTCATCAAATGAACTTCGCCACTCAGATGGCCAGACCCACAATTCATACAAAATTCTGTCTGTTGCACCCAAGGATGCCAAGCATGGTCAAATTTCCTTCAGAAGATCTCCCCTGGTTAGCAAACCATTGGAAAAGGCCTCTTTACTATATGGAACAGAATTGAAAACAAAACAAGGAAAGAATTTCTGTAATTTATCACAACTTTCATAGAGTACACATAAGCAATCATAACCTGATGTTTTCATATTGTCATAATATTCCATGTGCACAAAAACAAAAAAATAATGCCACGATGATTACTTTACTTCATTAACCATCTAGGTCTACGGGATTCTTGATGATGGCAACACCTGTGTTTAGAGAACTCTCAAAATTACTTTTAGAATTCTTACAAGCACGCCAACTAGACTAGAAAAGGCGACCCAATTAAAAAAGAAATGAAAATTTACAGATTCATTACCAGTTTCACTTCAATCTAGTGCACTAAATATTGTTTTATAGAATATAATGTTACATCCTATTAACAGCTAATTGAAGTAATTCGGTCATTCAAGGATTTGCCAGGTTTGAGTGATGGAGGAAAGCTGGAGTTCTGGAGAAACGCCACCAACCTGCTGTCAGTACCTGGTGACTGCTTTGCGTACACTGTATGCCTCAAATATGAGACCCAGAGGTGGAGGGCCGTCATGTACCTATACAACTCAGCCGTCGTAATTTTATGAATAATGAAGTTAAATAATCCATGCTGTTTTAATTTTACCTACATGTAAATGTCGTACTGGTAAAGCTTTTGTTTCTTGTAAACTTTTTCAAAGTTAATCTGTAAACAAGAGATCCTGGGCACAATCCCTGGCAGAGGTGTTGAATTACAATTACATAACAAGGTAATTTTATATAATATTTTATTTTTTATAATAACATAATATTCTTATTTGATTTTCTCTTTTGTCTTTACATCCCCCTGGATTTCATCCAATTCAAATTATAAATAACCTATGACAAAGGTCATAATATTTAGTTATGATTAAATACTTGTAACTCCTGACTAGACAGCATTCCACTAAGAACATATTAAGATCCTGGTTTTCAAGGATTCAAGCAAAATTGAAGAACACTTGTATCAAAGTAAACATCCTGAAATGAATCCAGAGGGTCAAGAACTAGCTTAGACTAAAAGTCAGGGATGGGCTTATTACTGGATATTGAAATAATAATGCCATGGTAAACTTTGTGAACTTTTTGGTGTATATATGTGGTGCTTTAAGGTTGCAAATAAATTCAAGATTGAAGCAATCTCTTTACTCATTTAGAAACAAATGTTTCGAACCTGTTCAGATCTTTCTCACCACCTTTAACCAGTAAAGTGGTTGGGTACAACACCCAAACTGAGACCTTCCAAAATTTTAAAGGTTTTGGTTCTGCTCAATTTTCAAACTTTTAGTCAAGATCTATACTTTCTGAATTCTTTTGTGATCTGCTGTCCTGTCCTGGATTTCAACAACGAGAAAATGAAAGTTTCATTTTTGGGCTATAAAAAGAGTATTCTCTTAATTTTCTGTCCATATTACCGATAACCTCTACCATCTGCACATCAAGAAGTAGAGCAACTGCTGACTGACAAAATGTTACAAGGGCTCTTGGTGATGTAGGAAAGTATTGCACATTTCAATCTGGTCAGTGATGGATCTTAAAAGTCTTAAATATTTCCTTAAGTACATAAAGACCACTGTCCAGAACAAGGAATGCTTGAAACATCACTCCAAGAAGTCCCATCTTTATCCTGATGATCCATCTCTAATGATACCAACACACATCCATTTTCATGCAATTATATATCCTACTTCCCGATCCTTTGAACCTCCCAGTCCTGCTGACACAATGGACATCGCTTGTTCTGTTTTACCCACAGAGTCATACAGCACAAGTGAAAAGAATGGTTACACTCGCCCCAAACAACTGCAAAACAAAATTCAAATTTTATATTTAGACTGCTTTTTTGTTCTGTAGTACTGACAGTATATAAAATACAGAAAGAAAAACAGATTCCTATTTAAAATGTCTACAGTTACTTGTGGGCATGTGCAATAAAGTGCTATCTCACTGTAATGTTATAGTTGTTATTTGATATTAACTACATGTACTATGAGGTGGAACAATATTTGCCTATCCAATGCCCAAGAAATATTCAGATGCTAATGTATCACAACAATTAAAAATTGGAAAATGGTAATAATGAGCTGAATTGTCAAGAAGGCAATTTGTTTTAATGACAAATTAAAGCATACCAAGTCTTAAAAAAGAAATTGAAGAAACCTCTGGACAAGATCAAAATGCAGAATAAAAACAAAGGGCGCAAACATTTTGACATATTGTTAAATAAAAATGCAGTTCACGAGAACACAATCTCATGTAGTTTTCCAGGCTCACCAAGTTTTTAAAAAATTGTATATAAATTGCGGGAAGAAATCTTGGTACAAAATTAAGATGATAAAAAACGACGGGGAAAAAAAAAAAGGAAAAACTGTTGAATCAAAACACAATTTTGTGTCAATGTGATTAAGCCTATCAGGTGAGAAAAAGATCAGTTGAAAACAGTTGGAGATCTCCAGACAAGACTAGTATTATGATAAGAAGAACAAGTGATAGTAAGGGGCAGCAACTCTCCAAATACATTTGAATCAAATTGCCAATCAGGAATACACAACTTTATGCATGGTAATGAAGCCTTCCAAGTTTGGTTGAAAACTGGGAGCAGATACAAGTTTATGATGGATGGGTGGATGCTCAATGCCATACCACAATATGTTGCATCAAACTAAACTTTTGATAGGTGTATAAAAATTGTTGAATCTAAATAATATACAGGAAAAAAATGTCACTTTAAAGCCAAGAAAAGACTTTGGGTTGAAAACTGAGGGAGATCTCTGGACAAAATATCCCCCCACCCACAAAAATAAAAAAAAACAAACTCTTTCAAAACTTTCAAAAACAATGAAAATAATGTTAAGTAAAACAGAGGTTCATGTCATGGTAATTAAGACTAAAGAAAATCAAGTTTACAGGAGATCAGTTGAAAACAAAGGTGTTTTCATATAGGATTAAGATTATGGAAAAAAAAAAAAAAAAAAACTCATAACACCAAAGGCGATAAAGTTTGCATAACACCAAAGGTTTCGATAAACTTTTACTTTTTGATTTTTAATTTAAGTCAACAATGAATCTGCAGTTCCATGACAGGTATTAAAAAAGCCCAAACCTAGAAAGTGGGTTGAGGTCATTCATTTGAACAAACTTGGTAGCCTCTCCTCTGGCCCAATAAAATGTTTTGCTTGTTTCTATATTTTAAACTTGACCTTGAAAGTGGGTTGAGGTCTTTTTGATTTTTAATTTAACTCATAGTTTTGCTTATTGAGATGAAGTCCTTTGTATATTTTAACATGCACCTTGAAAGTGGGCCAAGGTCCATGAGTGGGCTCCAAGCTTCCAATTAGCCCCCTAGGCCTTCTAGTATTTGAGAAGAAGTTATTTAAAGATTTTGACATATTTAACCTTGAAAGTTGTTCAAGGTCATTCATTTAAATAAACTTGGTACCTTTCCTCCCAGCATGCTACAGACCCAATATCGGCACTCATAGACTTTTGCTTATTGAGATGAAGTCCTTTGTATATTTTAACATATTTGACCCCTGTGACCTTGAAAGTGGGCCAAGGTCATTCATTTGAACAAACTTTGTAGGGCTCCATGCCAGCATGCTATGGGCCAAGTATTAGCCCCTAGGCCTTCTAGTATTTGAGAAGAAGTTATTTAAAGATTTTGACATATTTGACCCCTGTGACCTTGAAAGTTGTTCAAGGTCATTCATTTAAACAAACTTGATAGCCCTTCATCCCAGCATGCCACAGGCACAATATCAGCAATCTGAGCCTTTTGGTTATTGAGAAGAAGTTGTTTAAAGATTTTAACATATTTGACCCCTGTGACCTTTAAAGTGGGTCAAGGTCATTCATTTGAACAAACTTGGTAGTCCTTCATCCCAGCATGCTACAGGCCTTATTTTAGTTGCCTGGGCCTTTTGATTACTGAGAAGAAGTCCTTTGAAGATTTAAAGACATTTGACCCCTGTGATCTTGAATGAAGGTCAAGGTCATTCATTTGAACAAACTTGGTAGGGTTTCATCAAAGCAAGCTACAGGCTAAATATTAGTTGCCTGGGCCCTCCAGTTATTGAGAAGAAGTCGTTTGAAGATTTTAAGACATTTGACCCCTGTGACCTTGAATGAAGGTCAAGGTCATTTTTTTTAACAAACTTGGTAGGGCTTCATCAAAGCAAGCTACAGGCCAAATATTAGTTGCCTGGGCCTTCCAATTATTGAGAAGAAGTCGTTTGAATGAAAAGTTTACGGACGGCGCACGGCGGACGGCGCACGACGACGGACGAAGCATGATGACTATAGGTCATCGGACCCTTCGGGTCAGATGACCTAAAAAGGACTAAAACAAGATTTTAACTGTAAACAATATATATTTGTTTGCTCTAGATCTATCAGTGTGTAACTACATGGAATTGAAATGTATAGAGTGTCTGATTCCTGTGTTTGAGTTCATCCACTCTCAGCCTTAACAGCTTTGTAAAATTCTACATGAAAATTACATAATAACTTACCAACACAATCGTCTTGTTTGTTCTCAGATTGACATCGTAGACATGCATCTGTTAGAAGAAATTAATTAAATTTAATCATGGATGGTTAAAAAAGTTAATTTTGGAAATGACTGATAGATTTGTTAATAAATTAACTGGCAAATAGTGCACTTAACACAGTTGTCTCAATTCTGATATGATAATTGTATGGTACCAAAAAGGAAGAAAGTGGTCTTGTGGAAATAGTTTCACTCAACAACTTTTTACAATTTTATAAAGAGATCATGTGAGATTACCTCTGTTGTGGTGCATGCTGCGACATGCTTTTACTTGATTACAACTTCATTCATGAATTACACATGTATGCATTTAAAGAATCTTTCATGTTCAAAGTAAGAACAGTTTGCAGAATACATGTTCACTTGAACTTAAATGTTTTGACTATGCAAATGCTCTGGTACCAGAAGAGTAATTTTGTTCACAATACTACAACAAATGACAACACAATGATAAAGATGAAAATATGATTTAAAAATTATCATCCAATAATTACTTGAATCAACTTAAGATTTTTATTGAGGCTGCATGGCTCCCAAATTTTCATTTGCTTGATTTTCAAATGAAATTAAATTTGAAATGACCAGAATACTATATCTATGCCAAGTAATTTTTGAAGAGTCCAGTTACAAAAAGGGTTCTCAAAATCTGAGCGAGTGCTATAGGAAAGGCCAGGGACATAGATAACATCCTTGGAAAAGCTCAAGTCCAGGACTCAAATATCCCCAAAATAATAACACAAGTACATTACAATATACCATACCCGGACACGGGAAGGAGTCATGAAATCAGGCAATCAATTACAGTATACTATATTTAAACCTTATTTCAGTCTGATGCCTCTGTTTCTTATAAAGCTTTGCCTTTATTTGGGTCTAGTCATTTCGGCACCAAGTTTATTCGATACTTGCAAAAATGTTTTACATAGCTAGAGTGTCATTTTGAGTGAACAGTTTTCCATTAATGGAATGAGCAATATTTATTAATGACAAAATACCTGAAAAAATCTAATTTAAAACATAAATCAAAAGATTAAAGTACCGAAACTACTTATTTTGGAAGAACCGGAACCTGGTACCGAAATGACTTGCCCCCGTTGGTAGCGAGTTGGTGGGGATCATATTATTACAATGGCATTGGTTTTCACAGTGTTGTGAAATTATCAGAACAAAGGAACATTATCACGAGCTCTTTTATCGTACCCATCACTTGAACACGACAAATTGCGCACGTGTCACATTCTACGTCCCAACTCCACATGGCGACTAAATTCCATTTCTTCAGGGTAAACATTTTTTCAGGCTTTTTCGCTGCTTCTCTGTCAACCTCCATGTCGTCAGCCATTTTGAATGATACACCACAGTTTTATTTACTTTAGCAATAAAATAAAATTTGAATATGGCATAACATCGTAAACTTATACTGTTACGAATAAACTAAATAATATATATTTGTTGTTGTCAAAATAATTTACATAATATGAATTTTACCCTATATGAACGAGGATATCATGTTTGTGGTCACATGACACAACATGGAAGTATTCTAACCAGGAAGTAAAGAGTGCGATTTGTGAGATTTGATTACCGAATTGGTCAGATGCCATTTCTGTCTGCACAATGAGTGACAGCGGCGAGGAATATCACAACAGCGACGAAGAATACGACTCTGTTTATGCAAACAATGCCATACTAGACATAGCAAATGTTTCGCTGTGTTTACAGACAGAAACTCTGACCAGTTTACTTGAATATGACGAGAAAAAAACTGAAAAGGAAGATGGATGTAGATGGTACCACGGAAAGATATCACGCGAAGCAGCAGAGAGTCTACTGAAGGAAGGTAAATATCAACAGAATATACGTAGTCTTACTTGAAATGATTAACTCCAACTTTTAAAAGTATCATCTGACTTGCTGGTCTCTAACTTGGCAAGTGAAAAATCTTTATTTATTAGATAAGTGGTAGATTAGTGTTGGAGCGATACAGATGTTTTTTTTTTACAAACTACCCCATTGTGTGATTGTAAAAGTATCATCTGACTTGCTGGTCTCTAACTTGGCAAGTGAAAAATCTTTATTTATTAGATAAGTGGTAGATTAGTGTTGGAGCGATACAGATGGTTTTTTTTTTACAAACTACCCCATTGTGTGATTGTAAAAGGTGATGACTACACATGAGATATTTATCTTGTCTTTCTTTGGGAAAGACACATTTACATCCTTAAGTTTCTCTTGACACAACCACTCTTCAGTCAGGAAGGCTATGGGTTCTTCCTCTGTGATAAACCGATTTGACAAATTAATGAAAACAACACTGTGATCCCTGCTTGTCACTCAGCATTGAACAGGATGTGCAAGGACTTGTTTGATAGCGCTTTGTCAGTTTAATATGACTATGAGGGGCAACATGCTATTATGTCGTTGTAATGAAATTTCATTGTGATGAAACTATAATAGTTTCATACGGTGGCCCTATGATCTGTAGATACAACACTTTGTGGTAGTTACTTCTGGGTTGGTTTTGATAATTCAAAAGCTGTTTACTGTGGGGCGTTCTCTTGAAACTACTTTATGGAAAAGGACTAAAATCACTGTCAAACAAAAATTTAAAAAAATGCCCTGAAGGGAAATTAAAAGCGTTGATGTAAAGAGATAAACCAATTTACTGCACAGGAAAGGTCCAGCAACACTGTTCATTCATATCTGTTTAGCTGGGGTTGGGTTATTTTATGACACATGTTGTGTACTAGATTTACAAAGAGTGAGCTAAAGATATCTCTAGCTGGATGATATATTGTTGCTAGTATTTACCAGGGATATTCTCCTTCCAAAAAGAATTCATACTCAAGTTTCTGGGTGTTATGAAGGATGTATGCAAGTCTCTACATAAGTGCCAGTTTAGCAGCATATCAGAGATCATTACTTTATTTTGATCCCTTCACTATTTTATCCTTGTGTGACCTACCATGTGGTAAAATAAATCTCCATGCATGTGCAGTTGAAGTCCAGAATAATCCTCAAGGCAATCACAAATTAAACACATATTCTCTTTACAAAAATGTGAACTCCAAAGTCAGAGTCCCAGACTGTCCTAAAAAATGGGTTGATAATAATATCCCCCAAAAAATCAAGATATCACAATGTTTGTCTAGTGACATATATTGCTTTATAACTTTGAGTATTGCTATATATTGCATCAACTTTCTCCAACTCTCAGAAGGATTTACCAGGTAACGACAGAATTTTGGATGAGTTTGTGGAAAAATATTCATTTCAACCCAAATTCAACTTGTTTTATGTGTTCTTGGATTTTTGTGTTGTGTTATATAACTTCAAAATTATAGTTTTCAGTACATCACTGCATTTCATTAAGCTTCTGTTCAAGTTTGTTCTACAAAAATGATTTAGATATACTGAAATACAATATGACATTACCTTACAATATCCTTTTAAATATCAACAAAATTGATGTATAATTTGGTGATAGCGAAGCCTTGCATGTAGGAAGTCGGACTGCTGTATACTTGATGTAAAAAATTAGTGTAAATCAGCTTATTAATTTGTTCTAATTTTTACGTTTTGTGAATTTATTTTGTTTAAACTAAAAAACTCCAAAGGTATGTAAACTGAAATGTATATATTTGATAAAAATACCTCCCACAAAATGTGATAAAAACAGGTTGTGATTGTGGAACTATTGTTTGTTTACTCCCTGTAGGTAACCAAGCTTTTCCACAAAATTAGAATCAGCTGTTTTACTATTCCATCAGTTGTTGCGCTGTTCCATCAGTGTCTATATTGTCCAACAAATGACAATTATTATTTTCTTAAAGCGGCATCAATTGATAAAAAAACCCTGATTACATAAGTCTTTAATAACTCGGTCCCATGGTAACGATTGTCTATAATAACTCTGTCCTATGGTAATGATTGTTTATAATAACTCAATCCCATGGTAACCATTGTCTATAACAGGTCTGTCCCATGGTAACCATTGTCTATGATAACTCTGTTCCATGGTAACCAGTGTCTATAATAACTCCGTCCCATGGTAACCATTGTCTATAATTACTCTGTCCCATGTGACGATTGTCTATAATAACTCTGTCCCATGGTAACGATTTTTATAATAACTCCATCCCATGGTAACCATTGTCTATTACAGGTCTGTCCCATGGTAACCATTGTCTATAATAAATCTGTCCTATGGTAACGATTTTTATAATAACTCCATCCCATGGTAACCATTGTCTATTACAGGTCTGTCCCATGGTAACGATTGTCTATAATAACTCTGTCCTATGGTAACGATTGTTTATAATAACTCAATCCCATGGTAACCATTGTCTATAACAGGTCTGTCCCATGGTAACCATTGTCTATGATAACTCTGTCCCATGGTAACCATTGTCTATAATAACTCTGTCCCATGGTAACCATTGTCTATAATAACTCTGTCCCATGGTAACCATTGTCTATAATTACTCCGTCCCATGGTAACGATTGTCTATAATAACTCTGTCCCATGGTAACGATTTTTATAATAACTCCATCCCATGGTAACCATTGTCTATTACAGGTCTGTCCCATGGTAACCATTGTCTATAATAACTCTGTCCCATGGTAACCATTGTCTATAATAACTCTGTCCCATGGTAACGATTGTCTATAATAACTCTGTCCCATGGTAACCATTGTCTATAATAACTCCATCCCATGGTAACCATTGTCTATTACAGGTCTGTCCCATGGTAACGATTGTCTATAATAACTCTGTCCTATGGTAACGATTGTTTATAATAACTCAATCCCATGGTAACCATTGTCTATAACAGGTCTGTCCCATGGTAACCATTGTCTATGATAACTCTGTCCCATGGTAACCATTGTCTATAATAACTCCGTCCCATGGTAACCATTGTCTATAATAACTCTGTCCCATGGTAACCATTGTCTATAATAACTCCATCCCATGGTAACCATTGTCTATAATAACTCTGTCCCATGGTAACCATTGTCTATAATTACTCTGTCCCATGGTAACGATTTTTATAATAACTCCATCCCATGGTAACCATTGTCTATAATTACTCTGTCCCATGGTAACAATTGTCTATAATAACTCTGTCCCATGGTAACGATTTTTATAATAACTCCATCCCATGGTAACCATTGTCTATTACAGGTCTGTCCCATGGTAACCATTGTCTATAATAACTCCGATATGTATGTACTGTGTAATACAGTCTTTGTACATTATATACTATACATGTATGATACAGTGTGTGTATAGTGGATATAGCAGTGTTTGTATACTGTTGGTTTGTAAAGCATGTTTTTTTTTAAGAGCAGTTAATCATTTTTATCATTTGTTTGCTTTTAAGGTGTATCTAGTTTCCTGGTGTCTATGTATAGGACCAGGAAGTCACGATCAGGCAGACGTTCATATGTTACTCTATATCTTATATCTACTTATGGAGGATGCATGTTTTCTAGCTACTTCCTGTCCGTTAAGGAATGATAAATACTTTTATACTGCTGAAAGCATCAGTTTAATAATAAATGCTCTAAAAATAGCCGCATTCTAGATGTAATATAAAGATTAGTACAGGTATGTTATATAAATACTAGTACAGGTACATGTTATATAAATACTAGTACAGGTATGTTATATAAATACTAGTACAGGTATGTTATATAAATGTTGTATAAATACTAGTACAGGTATGTTATATAAATACTAGTACAGGTACATGTTCATGTTATATAAATACTAGTACAGGTATGTTATATAAATACTAGTACAGGTACATGTTCATGTTATATAAATACTAGTAAAGGTATGTTATATAAATACTAGTACATGTATGTTATATAAATACTAGTACAGGTACACGTTCATGTTATATAAATACTAGTAAAGGTATGTTATATAAATACTAGTACATGTATGTTATATAAATACTAGTACAGGTACATGTTCTTGTTATATAAATACTAGTACAGGTATGTTATATAAATACTAGTACAGGCACATGTTATATAAATACTAGTACAGGTACATGTTATATAAATACTAGTACAGGTATGTTATATAAATACTAGTACAGGTACATGTTATATAAATACTAGTACAGGTATGTTATATAAATACTAGTACAGGTACATGTTATATAAATACTAGTACAGGTACATGTTATATAAATACTAGTACAGGTATGTTATATAAATACTAGTACATGTATGTTATAGAAATACTAGTACAGGTATGTTATATAAATACTAGTACAGGTATGTTATATAAATACTAGTACAGATATGTTATATAAATACTAGTACAGGTATGTTATATAAATACTAGTACAGGTACATGTTATATAAATACTAGTGCAGGTATGTTATATAAATACTAGTACAGGTACATGTTTTATAAATACTAGTACAGGTATGTTATATAAATACTAGTACAGGTACATGTTATATAAATACTAGTACAGGTATGTTATATAAATACTAGTACATGTATGTTATAGAAATACTAGTACAGGTATGTTATATAAATACTAGTACAGGTATGTTATATAAATACTAGTACAGGTATGTTATATAAATACTAGTACAGGTATGTTATATAAATACTAGTACAGGTACATGTTATATAAATACTAGTGCAGGTATGTTATATAAATACTAGTACAGGTACATGTTTTATAAATACTAGTACAGGTATGTTATATAAATACTAGTACAGGTATGTTATATAAATACTAGTACAGGTACATGTTATATAAATACTAGTACATGTATGTTATATAAATACTAGTACAGGTACATGTTATATAAATACTAGTACAGGTATGTTATAGAAATACTAGTACAGGTATGTTATATAAATACTAGTACAGGTACATGTTATATAAATACTAGTACAGGTACATGTTATATAAATACTAGTACAGGTATGTTATATAAATACTAGTACAGGTACATGTTATATAAATACTAGTAAAGGTATGTTATATAAATACTAGTACAGGTATGTTATATAAATACTAGTACAGGTATGTTATATAAATACTAGTACAGGTACATGTTATATAAATACTAGTACAGGTATGTTATATAAATACTAGTACAGGTATGTTATATAAATACTAGTACAGGTACATGTTATATAAATACTAGTACAGGTATGTTATATAAATACTAGTACAGGTATGTTATATAAATACTAGTACAGGTATGTTATATAAATACTAGTACAGGTATGTTATATAAATACTAGTACAGGTATGTTATATAAATACTAGTACAGGTACATGTTATATAAATACTAGTACAGGTATGTTATATAAATACTAGTACAGGTACATGTTATATAAATACTAGTACAGGTACATGTTATATAAACACTAGTACAGGTATGTTATATAAATACTAGTACAGGTATGTTATATAAATACTAGTACAGGTACATGTTATATAAATACTAGTACAGGTATGTTATATAAATACTAGTACAGGTACATGTTATATAAATACTAGTACAGGTACATGTTATATAAATACTAGTACAGGTATGTTATATAAATACTAGTACAGGTACATGTTATATAAATACTAGTACAGGTATGTTATATAAATACTAGTACAGGTACAGGACCAATTGATGTCAAAGGAAGACTTGAAAAAATTGTCTGTAATATGGTAGTAATTCTCTGAAATAAACAACCATCTTAAACAATTGATTCATATGTCTGTAATACCTGCCTCTGTTTGTCAAACACTCTTTATAACACCAACCTGTCTAAATCAACCATCCCTCTATAAAATTTACCTGTCTATATCAACCACCTCTCTATAACTACCTCCTGTCTATAACAACCACCTCTCTATAACTACCTCCTGTCTTTAACAACCACCTGTTTATAACTATCACCTGTATATAACTAACACCTGTCTATAACTACCTCCTGTCTATAACTACCACCTGTCTATACCTACCACCTGTCTATAACTACCACCTGTCTATAACTACCGCCTCCCTATGACTACCACCTGTCTATAACATCCTCCTCCCTATGACTACCACCTGTCTATAACTACCACCTGTCTATAACTTCCACCAGTCTATAACTACCACCTCCCTATGACTGCCACCTGTCTATAACTACCTTCTGTCTATAACAACCACCTGTCTATAACTATCACCTGTCTATGACTACCACCTGTCTATAACTACCACCTGTCTATAACAACCTCCTGTCAATAACAACTACATGTCTATAACAACCACCTGTCTATAACTACCACCTGTCTATACCTACCACCTGTCTATAACTACCACCTGTCTATAACTACCGCCTCCCTATGACTACCACCTGTCTATAACATCCTCCTCCCTATGACTACCACCTGTCTATAACTACCACCTGTCTATAACTTCCACCAGTCTATAACTACCACCTCCCTATGACTGCCACCTGTCTATAACTACCTTCTGTCTATAACAACCACCTGTCTATAACTATCACCTGTCTATGACTACCACCTGTCTATAACTACCACCTGTCTATAACAACCTCCTGTCAATAACAACTACATGTCTATAACAACCACCTGTCTATAACTACCACCTGTCTTAAACAACCACCTGTCTATAACTACCACCTGTCTGTAACAACCACCTGTTTATAACTATCACCTGTCTATAACAACCACCTGTCTATAACAACATCCTGTCTATAATGTCCACCTGTCTATAACAACATCCTATCTATAATGTCCACCTGTCTATAACAACCACCTGTCTATATGGATACAGTTTATATGGATAAGTGATTTGTTTCAATTACCTAACTTATATTACTGTCTTTTTTTCCATTACATATATTTGCATTTAGAAGGAATATTACTAAGCTATCTGATCATAGTTTACTGCAATTGTTTTTTTCTCACTTATACAGTACATATCAATTGTTTGGTTTTGCCAGGATTAGGTCACCTCGGAAGTGTTGATGGACTTTTCTTAGTTCGTGACAGCACCAGTTGTAAAGATGACTTTGTGCTCAGTGTTACCCACAATGCACGTGTCTACCAATTCCAGCTGAAGGAAGTTTATGATGGTCACTATCGTCTTGATGATGGACCAATATTTGCAGGTATTGTTTATATCAAAACATCTGTAGCCAAAACATTTCGACTGGAGAGCTTGTCTTTGACATATTTTTTTAATTGTTAATTTGATCTGTTGTTCTATCTTTTCCAGTTCATATCTAACATTTTAAATAGTCATTAGTACAAAATTTATATCATATTTGAGATTTAAGGATTACAAACTTCATATCTGAATCCAGGTATCCATTGATCGTTGATCATCTTAAATATAATGTTATTATAAACACTCTATTTTCATTTTGATTTTTTTTATAAGATTTTAGCATTAAGCTTAGACTTGCTTACTCGGAAGTTATTTTTCGAAAAAAAAAGAAAAACGGAGAAATGTGCAAATAAATTCTTTTATGATAACAGTAAATTGAGCGGGGTTATGAAGTCATTTTTTATTTATTGAAAAATACATTTGTAAGTAATAATAATAAAAAGATGTTATCTTCAACTTTTGTTATTTCTAGGACTTGTGAAATTAATTCAGTATTACCACACTGCGAATAAAACAGGACTTGTGACGACCTTAACCCAGCACTGCCAGGGATCAGCTCCTCCACCTAAAGCACGCGCTAAGGGCCCTACCAATATCCTTCATAGAGCCGTCATTGAGGGTATGTAAAGAAAATATCTCAATGCTAAAGAAATTACTTTTAATTTTTAAAGGATAATTGAAACTTTCATTGTATAACATGCTTATATTTGAGATATTTCATTTCTAGGATTTATCATTCTGGTCAGAAAGATTTACATATCTGTATCTACAAATATTACCTTTTCTGACGGAGATTATAAAATTTTTAAAAACAAGATAGTGATCCAAAGTGCTGTAGTAACTAGAGATTTGTGACTTGGAATCAGATTGACTTTGACAAGGTGTGACTTGGAGACATTGTGACTGAGGGTTTTTGTGACTTTGAGACATTGTGACTGAGGGTTGTTGTGGCTTTGAGACATTGTGACTGAGGGTTATTGTGACTTTGAGACATTGTGACTGAGGGTTGTTGTGACTTTGAGATATTGTGACTGAGGGTTGTTGTGACTTTGAAACATTGTGACTGAGGGTTGTTGTGACTTTGAGACCTTGTGACTGAGGGTTGTTGTGACTTTGAAACATTGTGACTGAGGGTTGTTGTGACTTTGAGACATTGTGACTTAGGGTTGTTGTGACTTTGAGACATTGTGACTGAGGGTTGTTGTGACTTTGAAACATTGTGACTGAGGGTTGTTGTGACTTTGAGACATTGTGATTGAGGGTTGTTGTGACTTGGAGACCTTGTGACTGAGGGTTGTTATGACTTGGAGACCTTGTGACTGAGGGTTGTTGTGACTTAGAAACCTTGTGACTGAGGGTTGTTGTGATTTGGAGACATTGTGACTGAGGGTTGTTGTGACTTGGAGACATTGTGACTGAGGGTTGTTTAGACTTTGAGACCTTGTCACTGAGGGTTGTTGTGATTTTGAGACATTGTGACTGAGGGTTTTTGTGACTTTGAGATATTGTGACTGAGGGTTGTTGTGACTTTGAAACATTGTTACTGAGGGTTGTTGTGACTTTGAGACATTGTGACTGAGGGTTGTTGTGACTTTGAGACATTGTGACTGAGGGTTGTTGTGACTTGGAGACCTTGTGACTGAGGGTTGTTGTGACTTGGAGACATTGTGACTGAGGGTTGTTGTGACTTTGAGACATTGTGACTGAGGGTTTTTGTGACTTGGAGACATTGTGACTTAGGGTTGTTGTGACTTTGAGACATTGTGACTGAGGGTTGTTGTGACTTGGAGACATTGTGGCTGAGGGATGTTGTGACTTTGAGACATTGTGACTGAGGGTTGTTGTGACTTGGAGACATTGTGACTGAGGGTTGTTGTGACTTGGAGACCTTGTGACTGAGGGTTTTTGTGACTTGGAGACATTGTGACTGAGGGTTGTTGTGACTTGGAGACATTGTGACTGAGGGTTGTTGTGACTTGGAGACATTGTGACTGAGGGTTGCTGTGACTTGGAGACCTTGTGACTGAGGGTTGTTTAGACTTTGAGACATTGTGACTGAGGGTTGTTGTGACTTGGAGACCTTGTGACTGAGGGTTGTTGTGACTTGGAGACCTTGTGACTGAGGGTTGTTGTGACTTGGAGACATTGTGACTGAGGGTTGTTGTGACTTGGAGACCTTGTGACTGAGGGTTGTTGTGACTTGGAGACTCATATTTTAGGTGTTCTGCTGAGGATCTCTTACTTTATTAGATGTTTAAATTTTGAGTTATGATTTTTAACTTCTTTTTTTTTTTCAGGAGATATCCAAATTGTCAAGGACATTTTAAACCATAGTCTTTGTCCAGATATTGATGCAAAAAATGAATGGGGTAGGTCCAATTCATACCATTCTGTAAAAGGTCCAATTTCTACCAGTCTACACCCTGGATTACTTCCAATTCATACCAAATACGGAAATTAAATTATAAATTAAAAAAAATGATTTCAGAGTACAGGTTACTGTGTACTCAAAAATGCAATAAACTGCCATATGCACTTTGTTTTCATTTGATTACAGCAAGAATGAAAATTAAGAAAAATATGTTTTTTATTGATATGGATACACTGTTTGGCTAGTTACAATCAAATCAGTTACATCGTGTTTTGTCTTTTATTGTTTTAGGTACAACGGCATTACATGATGCGTGTAAATACGGAGCCATAGAAATTGTTCACCTGCTGATTGAACACAATGCAGATGTAGAAATGAAAGATAGAGCGGGGTTAACTCCCCTTCATGTAAGGCAAACTAGTTATCTCCCTTAGAACACTTTCCTCTCAAATGCGGTTATATACTTACATTTATAACAGATGTTGCACCCTTTTTATTGAACCAACAAATCTTGTTAAACAGGTTTCAGTTAAGGATTAACATCAATTAATTTTGAAATATGATTATTATGGTACCGTAACACATACAAAAAAATTGAAAAACAAAAACAAAAAACAAAGTGGGCCCTTCATGGTTATCTGAAAATTGATGAATGGATGGAAAAACCATAGAATTTGCAAATGGTGGTCTGACAAATCTGATGAATTCCCACGATGATATTTCTGACATTTGTTATAAATCCATTCAAGCATTAAGGAAGAAAAGCATTTTGAAGCAAAATCATTGACTAACTTTCCCATTTGGGGGCCCCGCCCCAAGGTCCCTAGGGGTCAAATCAATTTTCAGAAGTCAAGAAATGATAACCCACCTGCGATGATGTTTCAGATCAAATTCAGTTGAAATGTAACGAGGCATAAAGAAGAAATAGCATTTTGAAGTAAAATATCAAATAACCTCCAGAAGTCCCTAGGGGTTTAATCAACTTTCTGAATATAAGACATGACTCTGCGCTCACAGTGATGTTTCAGACCACATTTGGTTGAAATCTATTCATGCATTAAGGAAGCGTAGCATTCTGCAGCAAAATCTTGACTAACTACCCTTCTCTTGGTTACGCAGGAGTAGTGTTTTACAGGAAAAGTTTATGAACACCTTACGGGGGCAGGGCACGATGGCAGACAATGCATGATAGCAATACACACACACAAAAACAAACCAAGATAATGTGAGACAATACTCTATTCTTTTGTGTTTTCGATCCAAAACTGATTAAAGCTCAGGTATTTAATTTGATATACTATAATCTAATATGTTATTGGTTAGTATCATAAAGGGTTTAGCTAATTGAAATGCTTGTATGAATCAAGACAGTGTATTCATGAATGAAACACTTAATATTAAAAAAGTTGAATTGAAATGAGCTCACATAAACAGAATTTCACTGACACTCTTAATGCTACAAAAAATCTGAAGTTTTATTTTTCTGTAATTTATCTATTGAAAGAAGTAATTTTAATCATTACATTCTTTTGACATATCGATGTGGTTGAATTTCTTCAGCGAGCATGTGCAGCCAACCGTGATGAGATGATTCCAATATTGGTGGAAGAAGGTGGCGCTAAGGTGCAGTCCTCTGCCCCAAAAACTTCCTGGGTTCCTATGCATGACGCGGCAATGCGCGGAAATGTTAGATGCATCAAGGTGAGAGATCATGTTGCATGGATATTGGTTAGACTTATCAAAATGAGGAGGCTGTGATAGCAGTCATTTAGAATGTTAAAGATCGAAGGTGCATGCATGGTTTGACGCTTTAGTTACTGTGGCAGTTTGGGAAAGGAGGAAAGGGGGAGGGGGGCGATTTTTGTTGCCTTGGCAACTGGGTCACTATACTTATGTGATTGGATGACCCATGGCTCTTAATTCCTTTGAACAATTTTAACTAATTGTTTAATTGTTATGATATGAGAGGCACACTGGGAATATTGGTTATAATCATGATAGTAGTTCTACTCTCTACTCGTTTCTTCGGCCTTGGATGTTTCTGCCTCTTTAAAGCTGTCACAGACTCCGACAGATATTACACGAGTATGTATGACGGTGAGGTCATGTGCAAATAGTTTTAGATCAGTGAGCATAGAAACCCAATGAACCATCTGATCATAAATTATTCAAGAGGGAAATATTTCCATTCTTTATCTGTAGGTGTAATATGATACTTGAAACACTTAAGTAATTTATGTTTCCTGATTTAACAAGACTGAGATTTCCATGTAAGTATACATGTTTTGTCAGGCTTTATTGAAGCTGCATGCCCCGCTGATGCCACGTGCAGAAGACGAGCAGACACCACTGGATCTAGCCATCAAGTATAACCGGGAAGATTGTATACGCCTCCTCAGTAAGTTTTCTACCACATTACTGGGAAAAACTCTGGGTACGGGGCTGGTTCCTACAGAACAGGTACCAGCAAGGTCAAATTAATTTTCATTGGAAAATATTTATCTTTTGAAAAATTTTTTAGAATAAAATAGTTATATAAGATCACGGTTTGGCTATCCACTTATCTTTATATTTCAAGGTCAAGGTCACAACTGCTATAAATAGATTTTTGTTGCATCATGTCCAATTCAGAATTGATGCCATATCTTGAGAATTTCTCAACAGAATTAGTTCATATTGACCCCCTAGTATCATCACATCATGTTCTATACCTGGTCTTATCAAGATGGCTTTCGGTCAAGGTTAAAGGTCAAAGGTCATATTTGACAACTTCTGCAAATTGATCCAACACTGAAATATATATGTCTGGGAGTGGGAACAATCAGGTTTTTTTTTTTTATAGCTATGCTTATATTTAGGAACAGACATTTTCTAAGATTTTTTATATCTATATTGAGTGACCGTGACCTCTGTATGTCTTGATGACAGGTGCAGAAGACCGACGACCTATTTATACCAAACAGGAGGATTGGCTTCACCCTGATCTCGACAGACAGGTGAGTTTTTAGTTCACCATTCTGAATACCATACAACTTTTTTTTTGTCACAAGTGCATAATTTTATGTTAATTTTATCTTCGTATTGTAAGACGAGTTACATAGATATATATCTATATTTGCATGTGGCAGAATAAGCCTACCATACATTGTTTGAAGGATAAAGAATTTTCTTGTTTAACGATTTGGTAATTAAATCGTAAATTTGATGAAGTTTTTAATCTTTATAAAGTGTGTTTTAGTCGTAATATGATTCAGATTTGTAGTTTTTATTTATTTTATTTTTCTAAGAAATGTTTTTTTAAAGCATTGTCTTTTCAATCATGCTTTACCTTTCAGCAAGCATGTCAACTTCTTGATTCCTACCACAAAACAGACGGCTTGTTTCTCGTACGGAAAAGTCGGAGAAATGTCAATTTTCATGTAATAACATTCTGCTTTAAGAAAAATTACTACAACTTTGAAGTCAAGGTCAAGGTAAGTTCATAATGTCATGGAGCATGCCCAGTTGATAAAAGAGATTTTCTGAAATCAAAGCTGTGTGGTACATTATGTACCTTTGATGATATGATTCAAAGAAACACCATCATCAAACAGGTGGCTGTTCAAACAGACATCTTTTATCTAATTCTTATTAAGCACTGGATGTATCTTTTCAAATTTTATATGAAAAATTCAATTTGAGACTGATCAGAAAAATGAAATGGCTGACGGGGTGAGGGAGAGTTTGTTACTACTATTTCTTTAATAATAAATAATGGGTGATCCAACACTCCTAATGTAGAAAAATGCGGTAGTGTCTCCGGGCGGATCCGTGTAGGATTCGATAGAGTTCCTTACTATGGAAACATAAAACAATAAAAAAGGAATCTCAACACCACAAAGACTTCATGTGAACATTGTCTACATGTTTCGACCGCTATGCGGCCGTCATCAGGACAATTGTGGTGTTGAGATTCCTTTTTTATTGTTTTATGTTTTACTATTTCTTTTGTGGTAGTATATGGATCTTTCTCAGATTTTTCTTTCTCAGATTTTGTATATCGGTTTCCCTTGCTCCCCAGCAGCTCATAGTTTATTTTGGAACTGACTTTGAAAACAAAATGGCAGACAGTTGGCCATCTTGGATTTTGAAAATTTTAATTTGTTAACACTTTTTCTTGAGAAGTTCTGGTTGGATTATACACAATTTTCATATGTAGGTTCAATGTCTTTTGCCTGTAGTTGTGCATAGTTTATTTTGGAACAGATTGGAAAAAAGAGAAAAGAAGGGAAAAGGTTGAGCTAATGTTGAACAACGGTGGGCACTAGAATTCATCTCGGATGCATTATGCACTCATGTATGGTGGCCAGAAACTAATTTGCTATCATTTAAGAAAAAAAAATGCAAATATTTTAGCAAAGATATAGAGGTTTCAGTATTTTGCTTTCTTTTTCAAATGAAATAAAAATAACTTGAATTGATGTTTCATTGTCGAGTAAGAAAAATTTCATGTGTTGTTTTTGCAGGATTATAAAAACAAGCTTGTCCATTACATTGATAATGGACCATTCTTTCCATCTCTGGAACGTTTGATTGATCATTACACGCACCAAGCTGATGGACTGACAACCAAACTAACAGTTTCTATTCGCCCAGGTAAAATCTTCATATCTGATACTGTATAATTATTTATTTTCGGTGACTATATGGGTACTCTTAATCTATGAATTGTTTAAAATCAGCTTAAGTAAATTTATTCAGCTGGACTCATCCATAAAATCAAGGGTCCAGGAACTTATTTTTTTTTTTTTATGAAAAACCATGAAAGTTGACAAAAATATATGATTTTACGGTGACAGATCTTTTGATCTTTATCAGTAAAAACTGCCTCTTTCATAAATTTGGATCTTTATCAGTAGAGCTGTAATTTTGATTTGGATGATGAATAAAAAACTTTCTGACTTCAACAGAAATTTCATTTAAGATCCATTTTATTTTGTCAAGGTCAAGGAGAACTGGTATATGTACGTACTGACAACAAGTCACAAGATCGGGCCCCTCAAGGTATGTGACACATTTTCATGCACATTTTTTTTTGCCTTGTGAAATGGTTCGGTCTCAATTATTAAATATATTTATATTTAATCTGTAGCAAATATTGCCGAAGTTGAATACATGTGTTTGTTTGTCACTGTTGCTTAATCAAAATTTAGGAATTCAAAGTATTTAAGTATGGTAGGTGTTGTTGATGAAGTAGAAGAAGCTTTCCCTTCTAGAACATCTGGTCCTATACTCCTTGTACTTTTTCAAGTGCTGCTATGTAAAGTGTTCTTTTGTTCATATTTTGCTTTAATTGCATCAATTTTGAAAAAAAAGTGTTCTTTCATAATATTGTATCATTTTAAGTAACTGAGGCATGTACGATAAGTCGATTAAATTGTTACTTGCTTATTTTGATCTGTATCCAATTGTACTCTAGGAGCCATTCCGAAACCGAATTTACCCCCGAGGGACGAGCCAGAATTACCAGAAGATCCATATGCTGAGCCCATGACCATCAATGATCCCCCTCAACTTCCACCAAGTCGTTCAGTGAGTAGGACTTATTTAACTACTTCAATATATGTGTAAGAGATCAGTGTTATCCTTTTATTAACATTTTGAAATGAAAAGTCAGTAAAAATTATTCTCTCTTAAAAGAAATTTGTGAATTCATTACAGACTGCGCCACAAATTGCAAAAGCGGCTTTAAGTGATATGAGGCAACAGAGCACAGAAGAATTCAGGAAGATCATTGACCCCAAGGAAATTGTCCTCGGTAAATTTACCTAGAAAATTCTATTACCCTGTTTAACCTCTGTGTTTTCTGTGTGTAATATGCTTTGCAGTAGAGTGATTTCCCTTTAATGGTAAATTCAGAATGGCTAAATTTTGTTAAAATAAACTAATTTATCCAACAATAAGCTCATGTCTGGTAATAAGCCCACCCACATCTAGTTCAGCTTTAGTGAGCCTTGTGAGCTTGATATGAAATGAATGGTTTATAGGGTCTGAAAGGTAGAAAACACAAAATTCTAACATTGAATGAATGATTGAGCCAATTTCTATTGATAATATTTTGATTTACAGGCCAAGAACTTGGTGAAGGAGAGTATGGTGCTGTAAAAAAGGGCAAATATTCATACAAAGATGGCTTTTTTTCTAAAGTTAAGGTAAACAGTTATTTCCAGCCATTGGGAAAACATGATTTTACATGTTCATCAATGATAGGTTGCAAATTTCTATACCTGTGGCATCCATTTTGCAAATATCATAATATCAAGCAAAAGATATTTGTCCATTTCTTTATTAATGTTATTACTCTTTTTCTGTTTCCATCCCCTGCTTTTCTTAGAAAAACAACAAAACAACAAAACAAAACAGAATTGTGATTTTTGTTTTTGTTTTTACTGTAGAAACTTGTAGAGGCCATCACATCACAGTGGCCAAAAATCAAATATTTTCCAATTTTGATGGATAATATTGGTGTATACAATGTATTGTGGTTGATAAAGATTTTGTAAATACCCAGCCAACATTTTTACCGTGAATGAAAATCTCCAAAAACATCTGTTGTGCCAGTTTAAGTAGATACCTCTAGCAACAAATGTAGAAAATGCTGTAAATATTTTTACTGTCATTGTTGCTGTAAATACTTTTACCATCATTGTCGCTGTAAATATTTTTACTGTCACTGTAAATATTCTTACCATTATTGTTGCTGTAAATCTACTTACCGTCATTGATGCTGTAAATATTTTTACTGTCATTGATGCTGTAAATATTTTTACTGTCATTGTCGCTGTAAATAGTTTTGCTACCATTGTCGCTGTAAATATTTTTACCGTCATTGTGGCTGTAAATATTTTGACTCATTCTCGCTGTAAAAACTTTTACCATTATATTCACTATAGAGATTTTTACTGTCACAATCACTATCAATATTTTTATTGTCATGGTCACTAAACATACTTTTATCATCGTGGTCTCGGTAAATATTTTTACTGTTGTTACTTTTTTCATCAAGCTTTAGCCATTATTTTTTTTCAACTTTGTACAAAAGTAAATGGTTTGACGGGATGATTATATATGTCTGTGATGTCGTAAGTATTTTAATTTGTGGGATTACAGGTCGATGTAGCAGTTAAAACATTCCACCAGATTGACCCAGAAGTAGGGGTCAATGAGGGAATATTAAGGGAGGCAACTCTTATGCAGAACCTTGACCATGTGTGTATTGTGAAGTTGTATGGTATCTGTGAAAATCCGTTTATGTTGGTACGTATACAATAATCACGTATTTGTGTAGCCTTGACAACCGTGCTTGGCTTCTAAGTATTCCATTGTGATTTCATTCAGAGCATTTTGGGGATCCGAAGTTTGTTTGCTGAAAGATGAGTTTGTTGTTGTTTTTGTTTAGATGTAGATAATTTTGTTGTTGTTTACAGGTAGAAGAGTTTATTGCGCATGGTGCTCTCTGTGATTACCTAGAGAAGTACAGAGGTACTGGTAAGATAAAAATGGACCCCACCCTATTTCTGTGGGCATCACAGATTGCAGATGGAATGCATTATCTGGAACAGAAAAATATCGTCCATCGTGATCTTGCTGCACGAAACATTCTGGTCGATTCGAAAACCCAGGTAATATTTGTAACAAAGATCTTTTTTCATTTCAATGCCTCCGCTAGGAATCGAACCCGGGACCCATGGCTTACTAGTCTGACGCTCAACCAATCGAGCTGAAGAGAAGTTCTCTCTAGCCGAGTGGTATATTGCGGCTAGTATTATACCAGGGTAACATACTCCCCCTCCAGGAAATAACTCGTCCTTGAGTTTCCAGGGGTTACAGCGATGCTGATGGGGCATGGCTAAGTACTATTCCCGGGTCCCTACATGGGCGCCAATGTAACACAGGTCATTTTTCATTTCAATGCCTCTGCTAGGAATCGAACCCGGGACCCATGGCTTACTAGTCTGACGCTCAACCAATCGAGCTTAAGAGAAGTTCTCTCTAGCCGAATGGTATGTTGTGGCTAGTATTTTACCATGGTTACAGAGCTAAAGAGAAGCTCTCTCTAGCCGAATGGTATGTTGTGGCTAGTATTTTACCATGGTTACAGAGCTAAAGAGAAGCTCTCTCTAGCCGAATGGTATGTTGTGGCTAGTATTTTACCAGGGTTACAGAGCTAAAGAGAAGTTCTCTCTAGCCGAGTGGTATGTTACGGCTAGTATTTTACCAGGGTTACAGAGCTAAAGAGAAGTTCTCTCTAGCCGAGTGGTATGTTGCAGCTAGTATTTTACCAGGGTTAGAGAGCTAAAGAGAAGTTCTCTCTAGCCGTTAGGTATATTGCGGCTAGTATTTTACCAGGGTTACATATTTACCAGAAAAGAAAACTAAAATTAGTTTGGAACGAGCCCAGAGTGTCTCTTAACAAAATTAGGCCTGTTCCAAGGCCAATAAATGGTATTTATGCAGAACGAAAAGATTAGGATTGGCTTATTACCTTAATTGATGGTTGTCGAAATAATTTGTTGTTTAATCCTTCAAAACGTCTTCTGTATGATTGTTGTTTTGTAAAAACTATGTACTGTATTTTCCGGGCTATTAACTGCACCCGAGTCTAACATTTATCATATAACACAAGTTTGCAAATAAATCATACCCAGACAATGCTTTATTTTATTGATGTGTTTCAAAAATGTAAAATAGCAATCACCAAACTTGTTTAGTTTGGGAAACTTCAAAGATTGTCAATGTAGAGATATAGGGCCTGATGTTATGTATGGTTTACTTAACAATATCCATCGTACGTCGTCCGTCGTAAACATTTTCAACTTCTTCTCAAGTTGTTTATGTCTCATTGAGCTGAAACTTACCTGAAATGATCATGACATGATCCTGACCAAAGTTTGTTAATTTCGGGGTGGTCCGAAATCCAACATGGCCGGCATCTTGAAAACACATTTTCGACTTCTTCTCAAGTTTAAAATTTGAAATCTTGTATTTTATGTCAGGTGACCATTAAGACCCATGGGCCTCTTGTTTTTTCATTCTGCTGATATTTTTTTGATTGATTGGTGTTTGTGTAGTCAGATAATTTGTAGCTTCTTTTTTGTTTGATGTAAGTTATGTGATCTCGGAAGCTTTGTTTCCTTACAGGTGAAAATCAGCGATTTTGGTTTGTCCCGAGCTTACGAAGAGGGACAATACTACAAAGCATCCAAAGGAGGCAGATGGCCAATAAAATGGTGAGTAGAAATATGAAATACAACATCTTTATTTATTTCTCAAGGTAAGGAACAAGTGAAAACAAGACTAAAGTCCTACTTTTCTGCCACTTGTCGACATCCACATCCATGATTAGATGAGGTATTTGGCCCAGTTTCTCCAATACAGTGGTTGCTATACAAACCACCGCTAGATTCCTCATAAATCTTTCCGTTTATCACACCCTTAATATTGTGTGTTCTAATGGCAAGTTAATGGTTGACATTCATAACTTATTAATGGTTTTGTGTTCATGGGTTTTTCATGGTAAATTAATATGTGTATTACTCATCTTTAAAAACAGACAGATATTGATTTCAAATATCCATTTTTTGGATTTAAAGAACAAGACATTTTGTTGGATTTTAACAATTTATTGGTACTTCTGACTTGAATTTTTGCATAATTTCAATAAACAATAAACATTTAAAATTTTAAAACAATTTTTTTTAGATAATTTATTTTGTAGATTTATTCTAACTGATTTTGGATATTCCTCAGTCACCTCAGACAGTTTTGGCCATTAGAATCACTGACGAGCCCTAGAAGGACAAAACAGCTGTATGATGTAGTTTATATCGTCATTTGGCTCTATCTAAATATCTTATTCTAAATTGTATTGAATTAAGTGTCTTTTGTACTATCTAAGGGACCACATGTGGATAAGGCATCTGATCATCTTTATCACTAGCCTTCCACCTCAGGGTTATGGGTTCGAGACCAAAGTGGGACTGTCACCAGGCACTGGCTGTAGTGTGTTAGTTTTTTCTCTGGGAACTCCAGCTTTAATTCACTACCCAAACCTGGAACATCCTTAAATGACCCTGGCTGTTCATAGGACTAAAAACAACCATGAATTAAACTATTAAAAAGTTAGGGATAGCAAGAGAAGCTTTGTGGAGTTTTAGCTGTAAATACATGTATGATCAGATGTTTTTAATATTTTCTCTGATGTGAATAATCTCCTACATTTGTCTAGGTATGCACCAGAGTGTGTTAACTACGGGAAGTTCACTCATCACACAGATGTCTGGAGCTATGGTGTGACACTGTGGGAGATGTTTTCATTTGGGGACCAGCCCTATGGTGACAAGAAAGGCATTGAGGTAACAAAAATGACTTATTTTCTTCTCTCTCTGTTTTTTTATTAACACTCTGAGCTGAGAACGATTGGCATGTTCACAAACAAATAGCAATTTACTAGGATGATATTTTCACTGTGAAATAATGAGTCACATGAAAATATTTATTGATCATTTGAAAAGAAAATCGTGAAAATTTTTACCCATGTAAATTACCATCTATATGTTAATGTCGAGAAAAAGCTGGTATTAAGAAATGCATTTTTTTTTTTTTTTTTTAATTTTTTTTTTTTAAGTTTTTGCATACAAAACTACATGCACAACAGAAATGATTGTATAAACACAGAAAGGACGGAACAAATTTTGAGACAATTTTTTTTTGAATTCTTGATATACAGTCAACATGAAAAGATGATGAAAAATCACCAATACCCAACTTCGAATTTTGTTTAGAATCTATACCTATGAATACATGTATATGTATATTGTTATATCACACTGATTTATAAAGTTTTCATCATCAGACCTTTGGAAATCATAAACCAATTCCTCTGGTATCTCTAGTAAACAAAATCCTGATTTGATGCGACACTTAATGAACACCATATAACAGTTATTTTTGTATGCATCTTAATTTTGCTATAATTGTGATAAAGTCTCAATGTAACAATTGAAATCACCTTGTAAATTATCAAACATAGTGTCGTATCCTATTTTTAATCGGCCTTATATAGATATCACACAGCTTTATGCATGAACTTGTAAAACCAATAACAAATGAATTAAAAAAAATAACGGACTGTGATACCGGTGACCATTTTAACTGACTTTCGTTGTCGTGGATCTCAAATAACTCATCACAAATGTAGATCAGTATGTATTGATAAGTATTATTGTTTTATTTTGTATAGTTTATGAGATCATAAACCTAATGGAACAGTCGATAAGTTGTTTGTAAATGTGAATAATTTACCATATGCTCAGTTGGATTCATGATCTCATAAACAGAAATGGTTTTCTTTGCTCGGTTTACTCTTCTGTGAGAGGCCAGCACCATTTCTAGGAAGGATGTTTTTATAGTAACCTCACTGAACAACATACAGGAGGCCCATTGCATGCAATCCAGAGTAATAAGTGTGCAACCATGTCTGTTTCTCAGCTTCTTGCAAAACACAAACCACCATGAGTAAAAAAATTTAAATTGTGAATATTTATGTAATTCTTCTTATCTGAAAATAAGTTGGATGGGCTTATAACCAGGAGGAGTCATTTGGTGCTTAAATATTCTTGATGAAAAAAAGAGGAAGTTCTGAAACAATGGCTTCTTAAAGTGTCTGTTGGTGCTGAAGTAACAATTTTTTATTTTAATCATTTGCAGGTGATTCAGTTTGTGGAGGCTGGTGGACGTTTGGGGCGTCCACAAGATTGTCCCGAAAAAGTCTATACGAAGATGAAACAGTGTTGGGAAAAAGAACCGAAAAGCAGACCAACATTTTCTGAGTTAAAACACCATTTTGATACAGATCCACTTTATGGCGAAGCCATCAAATACGGAAAGAAAAAGAGCTAAGCAGGGGATATGTCATGTTAAAACAATGTTTAAGAACTTGATGCCAAAGTACAAAAGACCTAGATAAAACAGGGTCTTTAAACTGAAATGGTGCAGTCTTTGTTGATTTCCACCACTGTCATGAAAAAAGTATATTTTTGAGATGTTTTTTTAGAGATTATAATATGCAGAGATTACTGATGTGTTAGCTTTCTGTAAATACACAGGTAAAGTTGATGAACTATAAAGATATATTAGTTAGTGTACCTGTCTAAACTGACCATCACTGGGACAGATTTGAATGCTGAAAAACACGGGTGTTTGATGTTGGTACAGCAGTAACATGTAGTTAAAAATTTAAAGTTACGATATGAGGATATAAATGAAACTAAACACCAGGTTTTTACAGTACTTTCTAGACGAGTCATGAGAGAGACATTTATGTAAAACGATACAGGGTGAAATTCTAATATTTTGTGTCACATTGTTTTGTTATTTGAAGACATGGCAGTAAAGTAAAATGAAAAAAATATCAATTACAAATTATTGTGTTGAATATTTAGTCTAAATGTAAAATGAACATCCTTGCTCGAATTATTTGCTTTTTTAATCAAATTATATAAGAGATCAAATATAAATTCTGCCTTTTAAATGGTATATAAATGGGACTGCATTTGATACTGATTTACAGACTTTAAAGGGAACACTCTGGTCAGCGCTAACTATAAAAATAATTTTTACCCTCCTGAATATCTGCTTAGTTTGACAAAAAGAAAAAAAAAATACAAAAAATTCGAAAATACCATACAAGCACATGTCCCCCATTACGCCATCCTACCACTCCACCCCTACCCCCACAGTACCTGAAATATTGTCACCTGACTCTGCTTTATAAGATTTATGTTGCACAATGACTTATAAGCAATAATGACGTCACAAAGGATGTCACATGAAAAACGTTGATTTCAAAGCTCAGGCCCCATACAATATAACTCATAGTCAACTACAAGTACCTCATGGCAAACATTTTTTACTTCTGCATCGGAAGGCATGACATATCTTTATAGTATAAAATTAATTGGGCATGGAACATCATTCCTTCTGTAAACAAAATGTTTTTGTTTGAACAAAGACTTCTGTAAACAAAATGTTTTTGTTTGAGCAAAGACTTCTGTAAACAAAATGTTTTTGTTTGAACAAAGACTTCTGTAAACAAAATGTTTTTGTTTGAACAAAGACTTCTGTAAACAAAATGTTTTTGTTTGAACAAAGACTTCTGTAAACAAAATGTTTTCAATGAAACAAAAAGTTGACATATTTTTTGCATGAAATGTAATTCCGTAAGCAATGTTTTATGAATTTACCCAGTAGACGAGAGGGATTTATTTGTTAACCGTGTAGAACTGTTTGTTTGTAATTTGTTATGTTTACAGGTACCCAGTAATGAATCTGATTGAATTTAGGATAATATTTTATATGGAATCCATATCTGTTGGATCTTCCATTTCTTTTCATATTTTAGATTTGCCGATTCTATGAAAAGTGTCTTAAAAGTTTTCATTTTCCTGAGTCGTAGGGAGTAAAAATTAAAACGAGATTAGCTTGATAAAATTTCAACGAAATGAAAATTTATGATACTTCTTATCACATAATACAGAGAGATACATTTTGAAAAATTGAAAAAAAAATTGTTGAGGGACAAAATCAAACAGGCAGCCAATTTTTCGTGCCATTTTCAATTTTCAATGCACCATTTCATAATGTATTGAAATTGCCCATATTTTTTCATTACAATCAATTTCTTACTAGTGCAGCCAATGAAAAATACTCAAGGGCATATTACTCTAGTGGCATACACTCAAAAGTATGACTTGGGCACATTCACTTGATAACAGGCAGATCATGTTGTTATTTATTTCTTATTTGTTTACTGTGTTTCCCTGTGAATAATTGTGTTTACTGAACAAGACATTTATTTACATTTTGAAATTGAATCATCATTCCACCTTCAAAAGGATGATCTTATACAGAATTACATAGCTTATAGATGATGATAAAATATAACAGTTGCTGACAATTGTGTATTTAGCATATACAGGCAAAATTGATAGACGAGTGAGGGAGGACTAGTTATAATGATTGGGGGTGGGGGGCTGGGGGCGGGGGGCATGGCATACCCTGAAGTGCCCCCACTCAGCAAGATGTTTTCTCAGTACTAGTATCTATAACTTTGTCCGTAAAAAAAGAGATTTTTGTATTTGTAACACGTTTGGATTTTCTGTCAACCTAAAAGCCCATAGCGAGGGACCAGGATAGATAAAAACCAACAAGTTGTATTTAATTTGATAAATAAGTTTAATGCCAGTACAATTAAATTCCCTTTTTTGTTTGGAACTCAAACCACAAACTTTCTGTATGAATAGTTATTACTGTAAAAATATTTATTTTTGTGGGACTTAATTTTTGAGGATTTAAATTCTACTCATACTAATTTGAACAGTTTATGGACATAAAAAAATTCATGGATATTCAAATTTTTTCAAAAAATCACTATTTTGTTTATAACTGATTTCGTAGATGAATATAGCTCAGTTATTCTACTCATACTAATTCAAACGTTTATGGACATACAAATTTATGAATCGAGAGAACCTGGATTTCCATTGATATTTTGCTCTCTTACTTGCCAAAATATTTTATCCTGCTAGACAGGTCATTATCAGGGCACTTTCTATATTGAAATCTAAGTATTTTCTTCATTCTGTATCTGATAATGTGTGTTGTTAATTCCATATTGTAATGATTTTCATACACTTATTATTGTTCCTGTCAATATAAATGTGTGATTTTCTAGTTTGAACCACTGCGTATATGTTTCAGTGTCATTTTCACTTTTTTTTTAGGATTTTTTTTTTACTCAATAAATCCTAATATTCAACATAACTTTTAGCATGCAATGTTATCAGTACATTTTACATTTTAAAAAACCGAATTAATTTGTGATGTAAATACTTTTAAACTTCTGTCTAGTCATATAAGCAATTACGGCACAAATTGAAGTACACATATATTCCATATTTTCCAACATGTTTGCCTCACAATTGCCAGTCTTCCAATCTAAGGAAATTGGTTTGATGGCAGGTTTACAGGTATTGTCATTAGTTAGGTGAGAACACTTTTGAGCTCTGTATATGAAAAAATATCAATATATTTTTGGCATGAGGTTGATGTCACATGGCTTCAAAGCATCATGAAGGTCATAAGACCTTGACCTTTGCTGTGGTTAAATGATCATGACTTTAGGTGAGGTCAAAAGACCTTGACCTTAGTTGAAATCATGATAATAACTTTGTTTATATGACCTGCGATGCTGTTATATGGCTACAAAATTACATGTGGTCATGTGACGTTTGGCATAGCCATATGATCTTGTCATTAAACATCACCATATGACCTAGACATTAGCTTTGGTCTTGTGACCTTTGGTGTATGACATTGATGTTAGATTTCACCAGATGATTTTGACATTCGCTAAAGCTACATGACATTAAGCTGTAACACACACACATGTATCGCTGCACCAAACCCAGACAAATTTCAGTGAAATGCTAAATGATTGAAATGAAGAAAGTAGAGTGTTATTTATACTTCATAAATACTGGTGACCATCATCTTTTGAATGATGACTTTTTTATAATCTTAAAGCTGATGTAATAAAACACAAATGATACACTTTAAATGAAAGTTTTTCTATATCAGTGAGATTTTTTCATTCTGTTTTTAGCTCTAGAATGCCAGTGGATTGACAAAAGAGATATGATTACAGTCATTGTACATTCATGTTATTTGTTGAAGGAAATGATTTCCAATTATTTTTTTATCTGTAAATACAAACAAAATCATTGAACTATTTTTATATCTATTGTTACATAATTACAGTGTATGACATGTTTGTCCATAAAAGATGATTTTTTTGTTTTATATGACTTGGTGTTTTAAAAAAAACACATGTGTGATGTTGATGTTTGAAATCAGATATGTAATTGGGACCAATATACATCATGTACAAGGGTAAACCTTTGAGTTTTAAATGGGAGTTGACACATGCTTTGATTTGTTTTTGAGTTGACATTTAGAAATGGACATGCTTTGATCTTTGAATGGGACATATAGAAATGGACATGCTTTCATTTTGAATGAGAGTCAACATATAGAAATGGACATGCTTTCATTTTTGAATGAGACATTTAGAAATGGACATGCTTTGATTTGTTTTTGAGTTGACATTTAGAAATGGACATGCTTTGATTTTTGAATGGGACATATAGAAATGAACATGCTTTCATTTTTGAATGAGACATTTAGAAATGGACATGCTTTGATTTGTTTTTGAGTTGACATTTAGAAATGGACATGCTTTGATCTTTGAATGGGACATATAGAAATGAACATGCTTTCATTTTTGAATGAGACATTTAGAAATGGACATGCTTTGATTTGTTTTTGAGTCGACATTTAGAAATGGACATGCTTTGATTTGTTTTTGAGTTGACATTTAGAAATGAACATGCTTTCATTTTTGAATGAGAGTTGACATAGAAATGGACATCATTGATGAATATTTTCATCAGTTACTATAACATAAGCATGTATATCTTAATTGTTTTTACTTATATCTAAAAATATATCAATATGATTTTCCCTGACACTAATCTCCTGACCTAAATGTTGTAACAATTAAGAAACAGGTAAATGGTACATGTATATTTAAAGTCTATGAATTACTGTACATACTAGTATACTATTGTAAAATCATGTTTTTGTGGGATTAAAATTTTGTGGGCTTTTTTTTCTACAAACTTGATTTTGGAGACACATAATTTTGTGGAAAAATATAGCATAGAAATCTTCTTATACAAATTTTAACAATTTGGTGAGATGAATTTGTGGATCAAGTGTAACCACATAGTCACTGAAAATAAGTGTCACAAAAATGAAAATTAAAAATTTATAGTACATTG